GTAGTTATTAGGACGAGTCTGCTGTTTGTTAGTGTTAAAATAGGCGCGATACTCGCCTAACGATCTAGTCTAGCTAGGATTATCCTTCTAATTCCGAGCACCGTCGGCTCTTCTTAGTAGATTATTGCGACCGCTTCCCTAATAGTTAGGCTAGCGACGATTCTTACCTCCGGCAGCTATCTGCTCCTATATATAGAACTTCTTCTCGTAGGCTATAACGAATTCGTCCGTCGTCGTATCCTCGTCTAGTTCGAATAGGGCCTCCTAGAAACGCGGCTCTAAACGGCGATAGGCCTATAGGATCTGTAGTTCTTTACCGAAGCTAGCGTCGCCCGCTAACCTTATCGTCATAACGATATAGTCTGTAATCGACTTCCCTACTCTAACGTCCTTCTACCTATATAACTACTAGTTAAGCAGCTTTATCGCCTTTACTACCGAAACCTTCTAGCGCTTGCTAAGCTTCTCTTACTAACGCTTGATGCCGTACCCCTTACGAAGATAGCGGCGATTTTAACTAGAAATCTGCGCCTAGTACTAGGTCTGTGCAATTCCGCGGAAATAAAGGGAAATATTAAGGCGAACCTCCTCTAATTCTACGATATGTATATAGTTCTTAGCCGCTAAGATAAAGGCGTATACCGATCGGTAGGTTATTTTGTTACCTACTAAGGCGTAATCGCCGTCGCCGTATTCCGTTATACTTAGCGTCGGGTCGAAGAATCCTAGACGAGCTAGATCGAACCTAGGACGGTACCGATAGTCGGCCGGTTCTTCGGAGTCTAATTCTAACGAGGAACGATCTCTATAATAGCGATAACGGCGAGCCCGGCGATACGCGCTGTGTTTTCCGCTATAGTAGCTATTATCGTCGCTTGACGAGCTATTAGATAGCAAAGGGGAACCGCGAGCGCGATGCTTTCCCTTCCGGTTCTTACGCTAATAACCGGGATTTGGCTCGCTATACTCCGTATAGCTGTCGTATCGGTTAGCGTCGTACGAGCTACTATTTTACGTATAAGGGCCTAGGGTATAAGCTTGCTAGTAAGCTTGTTAGTAATAGCGAGGATTATCTAGACGAAATTAGCGCAACTAGCCTATATTCCCTCCGGTATAGGTAGCGTAGCCCCGGGGCGGCGCTTATTAATAGTAGCGAGGGTTATCGGGAGCGAATTGTCGTGTCTAGCTAGGAGCAGCCTAGCCCTAGGCATACGTTTGCTAGTAATATAGCAGATCGGGAGCGAATTGGCCCGTCTAGGTAGCGTTTCTATTGCGTTTAGGCTCCCGAGTAGCCTAGCCCTAGGTATACGGTTGCTAGTAACTTCGTAGATCGGGAATAAATTGGCCTACCTAGCTAGCATTTCCGTTGCGTTTAGGCTTACGAGCGGCCTAGCCCTAGGCGTACGTTTGCTAGTAATTATATAGATTATTAGGAGCAAATTTGCCTATCTAGCTAGCATTCCTATCGCGTCCCGGTTGCTAGTAGTAGCGAGGCTCTCCGCTAGCATTCCCTCCGCTATATATAGCGTAATTATAGCCTTAATTACCGTCTAGACCTAACCGCGGGCTGTAGCTAGCTAGTTAGCCGTCGGGCGAGTCGTTTAGATCCTATAGCGAGTTGCGGCGGCTGTTCTCGGAAACCAAACCGGCTCTCTTAAGTCGCGACCTCTAACGCCGGCTAAGATAGTCCTCGACTTGCTCTCGGAACTCGTAGCTATAGTAGCCGTCGCAGTCCTTCTGCCCTAGATCGCTCTAGCCGGCGTAGGAACGATCGCTACCTACGATACGCGAACGATCGTCGCGACTATTATCGTAGTCTTTAGGGCCCGCCTAGGAACCGGTCTAATCCGGTTAAGGAGAAAGGCATTGTTCTATAAGAAATTAGGCGAGGCGGTTATCTAAGATAATGCCTCGACGTAGTGCCGACTTCTATAAGGCATATAGGCGCTACTAGTCTAGTTATTTACGGATCTCGCTACGATCTAGCTCTATCGTAGACCCTATAGATAGCGGACGCTAGTACCGGCTATGAGGCTCGCTATTGCCTAGATTTCCCTTCGTTAGCCCGCGGCCTCGCGGCGCGTCCTTATAATTGCGGTCTATCGGGCCTCGTCCGTTATCTAGTAGAGGGTACGGCGAGGATTCCTACGGCGAGGATTTATCGCTAGAGATCCTTATTAGTAACAGTCTACGTAGAAATACAGAGGGCAATATACTATCTATATAATTATTAGGACGTCGCGCGCGTAGCTGTTCCGAATAGGTAGTAGCTCTAGGCGGTCGATGCCTACTCGGAGAGGGTAGTAGTAACGACGCCGCCTACTAAGTAATCGGCGAAAACTCCGGTGCCCGCGAAGAAGGCGAGCGATAAGTAGCCGGATCGGGCTACGGGCGTTGCTCTCCTACTCGTGCTCGTTTAATATCCGCGGGCGAGTATACCTTAGGGAAAAACTGCTTATAATAGTACGAATCGCGAGTGTTCGGAAAAGCTACTTTTAGTTCCTTAACTAATCGTATTAAGGTGCCTTTATCGACTACCTACTAGCTAGGGAAGTCGATCCCGTCGAGGGTATATAGGTACAGCTCGTCGATCTTAGCCTAAGACGGTAGTAGATTTCCTAGTCGCGGGTAGTATTATAGGACGTAGGAGGCAAGCAGGTCTATACGGCCGTACTTTGCTCTAAGTTAGACTACAAAATTCTCGCTATACCGGACGTAGTAGCCGATAAAGGTACAAATGCGCAGGATATAAGACTTAGTATCTAGTAATCTAAGATTACGGTACTAGGGTAGCGGTCGGACCGCTAGTTTAACAGATTTATGCTTCTATCCGGGTTAGAAGCGAAACGAAGCGTAGGATTAACGTAAAGCGTTATATAGTAGAGTATCGTTACGGAGGCTATCCGGATTAGCAGCAAAAGGTAGTTTGTTAACTAGTTAGGGCTAATCCTTCCGTTATTCCTCGAAAGGTGCCTTCCTAGGGATACGGGGAAATAGCTACCGGCCGCTAAAGCGCGGCTGCCTACCGAATCCGCGGTTAGGCGATTCGGGTATATAGTATATTAATGTCGGCGAGGCACTATAGTAGGTAGCCGCCGACTAGTACGGAATAGTGTAAATCGAGTAAATATCGGTCGTAACGTAGCGAGTCGAATCGTCGCGGTCGGCGCTAGATCGGGGGAATCCTTAGCTAATCGTCTCGGTTCTCGTCGCAATTAGGACTAATAGCTCGGTTCTAGTAGAGGAGTTAATTGGTATAGAAGCTAATTAGGTCGTAATCTCAGCGAAGCTACTAAGTTGTTAGGATACGCTCTATAGAGCGGAGACGGACACGATTCTAGTATACAAAGATAATTGATTGTTCGTTAGTTACTAGCCTAGGAAACTATATATATTAATCGTCCTAATCTACGGCAGGATCGACAGTATCCGGAGCAGGATCGGCCGCACTACTGTCCAAACCGTAACACCCTATACTTAAATCTATCTCTAATTACGTTCGGAATGCTTATTTCTAGCGTATCTTCCTAGCGGAGGCAAACTATATAATTATAAAGGAATACCGATACTCTCTAGAATAACGCGATCGGCTAGTTTATAGGCTAGAGGTTGTTATAGAAATAATTAAGCGACTAATACGTTTCTATCTTTCCGAATGCCTATTCTATGCTAATCCTAACTAACGATAGCTTAGTATTAAATTTCCGTTTGTTTAACTCGAGATACCGATACCCCTACGCGTACGTAAACAGAGCTATATAGCTATATAAGCTATAATAAGCATTGTCGCTAATAACGAAGAGATACGGCCTATTTTCGAAGAGATTAGTAAAGCGCTCTTCTAGGTCTATACGCTAGAATATAGTCTAGTCGTAGTAAGCTCCGACTTCTAGTAACGATATATAAACAACGAGTCTATCCGGTACTGTTATAGCCTAGTATTTAAGACCCTAACCCTTATAATAGGGGCTATATACTACCTTCGCTATCGTCGGGTCCTATAGTATATAGAATAACTAGAATACGCTATCGATAAATCCCTATACCCTACCCTTATAGAAGCTACTATTATTAAGTGCGTTAACCCGCTATCTATAAAAATAAAGCTTCTCGTACGTTAAACTAGGCTACTAATAGATTAGATTATAGTATCGCTCGTAGATCTCGTAAAGCGCTCTATAGAATATATAGTACGTAGTACTCGGATAGCTACTAAGTAGCGTCGATTGTTTATACTAGCGATCCGGATATAATAATCTCTAGTATAATATATAGACTACTTGTCTTACCGTAGCTCTATAACCTCTGTAATTTACTCGGTACTTAGGATTACCCTAAATAGTAGTAGTAAGGCGACTAATCTAGCTCTTTATAAGCCGATAGAGCCTAGTACGGATATTCTCGTTATGTTCGTCGTCTATAGACTAGTTTACTATATAAGTAGATATACGGAAGGACTCTCTATTATCTAGAGCCCTTATACTACGCTAGATCTAGTCGGTTAGGTCGTTATATAGGCTCTAGTTAAGTACTAAATTCGCCGCGGAGGTAACTATATATTAGTACTACTATAAGAGCCGTTATTGCGTTAAAACCTAAGTCTCTAGGTTATCGTCTATCCCTTCGAGTAATAGTAGGAGCTTAGTAGCTATATTAGAGGTATTTACTTTAATTACGCGTAGATTAATATATATAAACTATATAGCACTATGCTACTAAGAAGGTAGCAATTAAGCTTTAATATATTACTAATTTGACCGCCTAAGATTAACAACCGAGGGTGGCTTTATTGCCTTCGAGACGAGTCTCGAATAGGCCTAGCTACTAACCATGAGCGCACTCACACGCTTGCAAACTATCCTTCGAAACCGGTGGAATAATAATCTCACACCACGATGCGCAGTAGATGTCCTATGCCCCTGGCACGCCATTTTCCTTGACACATCTCGTGTCTCTTCGCCCTTGGAGGTAAGCCGAATTGCCGTGCCTGACGTCTTGGCCTATTCTAGCGCGCGCCCGCCCGCCCGCTGCCCTCCGGCGGGCGGAGAGTCTTGCTGTGCTTCCGATGTGCGGACGGCTGCGACGCACGAATCTGGCCTGAGATACTCCTCCAGGCGCCGCTGTAGCCACGCTTCTTCGCCCTTCTGCAACCCCACCTTGCCAATCCTCTCAGCATAGCTGTCCAGAGACTTGACGTTTCTTGGTAGTATCTCCGCCATCACGTTGCTTACGAAGCCCTTGATCTTGTCGAAATCCTCATATGAGGATAGCAGCGATCGATAGATGTGACTCTTCGAGGAGAACCGGTGGTCAGAAAGGCCTTCGTCATGTTCGCAGGCTTCTCTCAAGAGACGGCAGTACTCCACGCGATACATTCCGAACTCTTCAGGACTCATATGCTGCAAAACTCCACCCTCTGCGGGCCACATATAATCATCGTTCCACTAAAAGACCAGCGTCAGCAGGTGCAACAATTTGCAAAAATCTAGTTCCGGCTGCCTTTCTGACACTCACATCTGCAGCGAGCCAATGGGGTACACAGCACCTAGAATGCGAGAAGCATATGGTCAGCAATTATCCCAAGCATGTCTTATTTGTTTACAGCTTACCACGCCATCTGCCTAGGTATTGCCTCGGTACAGTCGAAGTCGATAAGGCCCACGATCTCGTGATCTTCATTGACGAGGATGTTCTGAGGATTGAAGTCAGACTGCATCAGAGCAAACTCTGGCTCGTTGGCCCCAAGGCGTGCTACCGCCAAGAACGCATCCTGCATCATTGCCCATAGACAATGATATCCCGCAACTACATCAGACTTGTTCTTTGACTCGACCGATGCGCTGCTCCTGGGGCGGAGATTCTTCGCGGCGGCAACTGCTTCGTGGTATCTTCTTTTCTCCTCGCATACGGACTCCGCGTACTCCTTCCTCGTGGCGACGAGCTCTGCCAAGGAGCGGTCGACTGGCAAACCGAAGAATTTTCGATGTATTGTAAATATGTTGCTATCTTTGAGTCGCAATGCCTCGTCTATGATTGGATCTTTTGGGTTTCCTGGATTCTCATTGTCGCCGATCGGGAAAGTGAGGGCTCCAAACCTGTCAAACTGTAGCGAGCTGAACTTTACCACCAGCCGGGACAGTTGCCTGAGCACTTTCAGTCTCTGCTCATGGACTTCTGCGGGATCATCGCCATTCCCCGGCCACGTCTCGTTCAGTGGTTTGCCGTTTATATAAGACATGAGGATATATGGCGCACCAATCTCGTTGTTCAGCGAAGCATCGTAAGAGACCAACTCTGGAATTGGCAAACCTGTTCTTTGACGAATCCATTCCATGCCCAGCGCCGTATCGTGAAGCAACTTGGCATCGACCTCGTTCCATCGAGGGTGAAATCCGCAAGCAGGCACTCGGACGTTGAGTCGCTGCTGAGAGTCTGATTCGACGATATACGACTGGTTGAAGGCTCCTCGAGGCTCTTTGATCACGCGCCACTCTGACGTCGGGTTTTTAGTAGCGTTTTTCGCTAGGTCGATGATCTGGCTGTGGTCGATGCGTCTAATGGGGCCCCAATACTTCTCTTCTTCAGCTTTGTCCTGAGCAGCTTCTGACTCGACGATTGGTTCGGACGGAGCAAAGCGGTCTTCCATTGCTTCCGTGCTCTTCAATCCTTGGTGCGCTATTCCAGCTGCTGTGTGAGAAGCTGAAAGTGTTGACGCCATCCTTTTCGTGAGTTGGTGTAGATTAGAAGGGCCCTCTCCAACATCTTCTCTATCTTTCAAGACAGCATCTCTCAGAGATATTTCATCGACCATGCGACTCGGTGGACTTTGAGCATTTTCTGGCTCACGATGTAAGTGGAAGAGGCTTCGGGCCTTCCGAAAAACCCGCTTAGGTATGTCGCGCATGGGCATGGTGACGAGTTGTGAGCTGTGCTGAGTATACGTCAGGCGATGGATCACAGCGAGAGTCTCGAGGTGGCGGTCTTATATGACGCCCTCGTGGATGCGCTTCACCTTCGTGAAGGAATGTGGCCCTTCAATCGCCCTCGACATGTGACAGTTTGCTCGCGTCACAAATGACGCCTTCGGCATCATGGCTTTAGGGAAGGTTGGTCGCATGATATACAATAATGTATGGGACGCGGTGGCCATACACGGCATTCACGATGTATGGTTTGGCGCTGTCGCGAAGTATTTCTTTCGCCATCGTTGCACAGACCTTTCTCTTACAAACATCAGCATAGGCACGATCTCTCGGCAACACAACACCCACGCACATCCCAACAAACAAGTACGAATCTCGCTACAGACACCAGGATATCACCGCAATCGCCGACATACCATGGTGCAACGTCGTGTTGAAGGAAATCCTCCATCCGGAACATGCTGGCCATGGTAAGTCGATCCTCATCGCGCGCCCAATAAAGGCACTAATGATATCTCAGTCGGAAGTGCAACCCCGACGACGGCTTTGCGTGCTTCTTTCGCGGCCATCTCGCCTATTGTGAAGAGCTAAATTTCGTTGGTCGGAAATGTGGAATGCTTTTCCCATTGGAAAGAGGCTGCATGCACCACCCATATGGGCTCGGTTACAACAAGAACATCAAGGCGACTGACAGCCCTTTCACGCCTCGCGGTGAGGTCTTCCGTATGCCTGGATACACCCACGATCAAAAGGCACTGGGAATTGACCCTAAGACTCCCAAAAGCCAGAACTTCTTTGCGCGAACGGAATTCGCTAAAAGACTCAAAAAAGCGATGGAAAATCACAACAAGAATGAAGCCAACGAGCCTGCAGAGACCTCGCCAATCGCGGCTGTCAATGACTCTCAAGAGCAGTCCGCCCTCAAAGAGCTTCCGACAGAGCCTGCGACCAACGTGACGTCTATCAAGACCGAGTCACAGTCACCACCACTGCCATCTGTAGAACAACAGACACCGAGCAATCATTCGGGAGGCAGCAGCAAACGACAACCAAGCACCCGATCACGCAGAGAGTCATATTCAACGCTTGCTTGTGGCGCTGAAACAAGCAGCACGCCAGTAGCAAGCAACGTGGTCTGTGGACATTGAAGCTTCAGCCCCAGCCTCGACTGCAGCAAGTCGAATCGCAGGACGATGCTAGCACAGCGTGAACTGGGGACGACAGCTTCATGGCCATAACGAGTTAAGCGGACCACGTTTTCACTTCGAGGCATATCAAGCTCGGATCTTGATGCGAAGCGATACATGCGCCTCAGCATGGACGTAGGAGTTTTATGGACCAGAGACACAAGCAGGAGCATACTGTTGGCCTTGATGGATCGGAATTATTCATGAGAAATCTCTGAGGACCGATCAAGAGTCAGCTACTTGGCCAACGACCATGATTGGTGGCGTAATGTCGCCTAAATAGCATTCAAATGCACTCCTTCCATCGCCCATATCCTCTTTCCCCTTTGCGAAGTTAAGAGTTTGCCTCTTGATATGATGCGGACATGCTACCACGCCACAGTGGCAACCTCACCAGTCTTGTCATCCATAACTGTATGCGTTCCTGATTCCCTCGAGCCTTTTTCTAATAGTGTAAGGCGGACAGGATTGTTCGCTCCATCTTCAGTCTTGCCGGGCTCTCGACCGCCGCCTTGGCCAAAATGGTTTAGCGCAGTAGCCTACGTTCAATTAGCCTTGCTTCTGAGCATCAAAAGATACAATTTTACTTACCCTAAACCCAGGCGAGCAAGCATTAATGATTATATCAGGATAGCTATAGTGATGATACAGCATGATCATATTCAACGCCGCTTTACTGGAAGCGTATGCAGGCCAAGTCTTCAAGGCAGCCGGGGCCTTCGTAGCCCGATCTAAGCTGCCTAGACCTGTCGACATGAAAACAATCCTCGGATTGTCTGCTTTCTGCAGAAGCGGGATGAATTCCTCGGCCGTTTGTGCAGCACCAGCAGCGTTGGTATGGAATATTTCCGTCAGGAGATCTGATATGGGAACGTGTCCAAGTGTGTCTTTGTCAGGCGCAATGCCGGCGTTGACGTGGAGGACATCGAGTCGACCGAACTTCTTGCTGACGGATTTTGCTGCGACTGCGATCGATTCGTTGTTGGTGACTTCAATTGGGAGAAATTCGACGTCCTCGCACCCCTGACTTTGTAGGTCTTTCGCAGCTGCCTCGCCCTTCGATGGTGTTCGAGCTCCAAGCAGGATGTGAAAACGGCGGTGATGTTCGCGGAGCAGCTTCTTTGCGACCTCGAAGCCAAGGCCAGTGTTGCCACCTGTGATGAGGACGACCTCTTTATCTTTCGCTGCCAGGTTTGTTGTTCTGTCGTGAGGGTCGGTCTAAGCTCTGGACAGGAGCTTGCGAAGATGCTCAAGATATGATAGTTGAATGGACAAACCTCTTTATGTACTTACAGTGTGTTGTCGCTATCCCGGCCGACTTCAACGAGGTACCTGTATCTCCGTAAATGCTCTTTCCAGTGATGATGGAGCTACGCATCGAAGGAGTCCGTTCTGGCACTCTCTTTCTGGCCCACAGAGCGGACATAAGTGCAGATGGATATGATCGTCGGAAGCTGGTGTGCTCTGCGTTTGCCAGTTTCAGGGAGGTTTGCCAGCGTTTTGCCAGCCATTGGCGGGCTTAACGAGACAGTCTTCTCCGGATCATCGCACAAACCCGACGTGTGACGACGTCAGCAACGGCCAGCTCATTGTGTATACAAATCCGCCTCGACTCCCTTGTGTACCACGATCGGCTTGCTTGGTGTGGGTGCCTGCTTTGCGGTCGGACAGCGAGGTGGTGGCAGTGGCAGTGTACAAGGAGAAGAAACGTGCTTGCGCGCAGGAAATCAAGGTCGAAGCGTTCCAGCAGGTTCTGGGGTGGCTTGAACGCGCATAATGGGCGAGGATGTTGTCCCGCTTAGACCAGCATGCGCACATCCGTGATGGCGTGTGGCGCGAGCTGAAGTCTGATTGATGATCAAGTAAAGTTCGTGGCGACGTCGATGTCGATGGTGAAGACAGGGCAGTCACGCTCACCAGCGATTGCAGTAGAGCACGCGCACGAGGGCCAGGAGCAGGAGTGAGGGAATAGAATGATATCCCACTGTGTTAATGCTGCCGTCGCCAAGAAGAGGCATTGGATGATGATTTGGATGCATGGTACCGCAATAAAGCAGATTGTGGCATCGATGGATCAGTGAACCCAAGTAAGCAAGCTGTGCTGTGCTGTGCTGTGCTGTGCTGTGCTGTGCTGTGCTGTGCTGTGCTGTCCCCGCGCCCACGCATGGCGCAAGCGTAACCTGTTTATCGAGCGCCAGCACCAGCACCACCACCAGCACCAGCACCACCACCACCACCGGCACGGTATGATTTCTCCCACCCTCCTTGTCTTTCCTCCCTTTCACTTCATCACCATCACCAATTCCCCATTTTGTTAAGCTCGCCCAACCCAGGCGAGCTTAAGATCGTGCCAGGCCCAGCTGCCTAGTGCGTGCCAGCATCCCGGATATTATTATTGAAGCCAAGCGTACAACACCGCAAGGAGCTCGGCAGAAGCTCACTGCCAGCTCCACCCTTCTGCCCGCTACCATTCCATACTCCGTAGCCACCGCCCGCATGTTGGAGGGTACCGCAGGACGGGAGCAAGAGCTCAAGACCCGGGGCGTGGTGGAGGCTGCGCAGGACCCGGACAGCAAGGTCGATGCCGCCGACGCGGAGAAGGCGATCGTGGACAATGCTCGCGCTGCCGGAGCTGCAGCCTTCGAATTCGACCCCAATGCCAGCCCCGAAGAGAAGGCGCGACAGGCGCGAGAGGTATGCTCTGAAGGTCGAGTTGACATTATTGTGTGCAGCACCACTAACAAAATGGGCGCACAGGCCGCAGGCCCATCATTTCACAGAAAGCACCAGGTAGCAGCATTGGTCACAGACGCCGACGACGGCAACGATGCTGGCTACGACTTGCCACCGCCGACCACACAGGGCGCTGTTACACCGCCGACCCCTACCGCCGACGCCAATGGCAATCTTGTTAAGGGAACTGAGGATGAATACTCCCAAGTTGGTTGGGCGCCCAGATTTGGAAATCCTGCCGATAAGGAGGATATGCTCCCACAAGATCACCAGACATTTCTCGAAGGTAAACTCGACGACAAGTTCTTTGGTGACTGGTACCATGATGCTGCTGTCATCATCTTTGCCTGCCTGGCATCCTGGACTATCGCCGTGCTTGGAGGAGGTCTAGGCTGGATATTCATCCTCATGACGGCTTGTGGCACATACTATCGAACCTCCATCCGACGCGTACGAAGAAATGTGAGAAGTGAAGTTCGGGCAGAGATCGAAAAGAACACACTGGAGACGGATGTGGAAACACTTGGCTGGATGAACAACTTTATGTCCAAGTTCTGGCCAATCTACGCGCCAATTCTGTGCAAGTCGATTATTGCTTCGGTCGACCAGGTTCTCAGCACATCCACACCAGCTTTTCTCGACAGCATGCGAATGAAGTCCTTCACGCTCGGCACGCAACCTCCTCGATTCGAGCATGTCAAGACGTATCCAAGAGCAGAAGACGATTTGGTGATCATGGATTGGAAGTTCAGCTTCACACCTAATGATACGACTGACTTGACTGCGAGGCAGATCAAGCTCAAGATCAACCCGAAAGTGGTGCTTGAGATCCGAGTCGGCAAAGCCATGATCTCCAAGGGCTTGGACGTGATTGTTGAGGATATGGCTTGCTCTGGTATCATGCGTGTCAAGATGAAGCTGATGCTCGATTACCCGTTCGTTGAACGCGTGGAGATCTGCTTCCTCGAAAGGCCACACATCGACTACGTGTGCAAGCCCCTCGGTGGTGATACACTCGGTTTCGACATCAACTTCATCCCAGGCCTCGAGACTTTTATCCAGGAGCAGATTCACGCCAATCTGGGACCTATGATGTACGCCCCGAACGTCTTCCCGATCGAACTCGCGAAGATGTTGGCAGGTTCCGCTGTTGACCAGGCCATTGGTGTCTTGCAGATCCAATTCCATGGAGCACAGGGCCTGAAGAATCCGGACAGGTTTTCTGGCACTCCAGATCCGTACGCGACGGTCTCGGTCAATAATCGCGAAGTGCTTGCCAAAACCAAGACTGTGTATGAGAATGCTAACCCAAGATGGAACGAGACTGTCAACATTATTCTCACTAGTCTGCGAGACCAGCTTACCATTACCCTGTTCGACTACAACGAATACCGCAAGGACAAGGAACTCGGCGTAGCCTCATTCAACTTGGAACAGCTCGAAAAAGACCACGATTTCGAGAACCAAAATCTGGAAGTCATTGTGAACGGTCGTCCACGTGGTCAGGTTCAGTGCGACATCCGCTTCTTCCCAGTCCTCGAGGGCCAGAAGCTCGCAGACGGTAAGGTCACAGAACCGCCAGACATGACCACTGGAATTGCCAAGTTCACTGTTGTCCAAGCAAAGGACCTAGATGGTAGCAAGTCTATGATTGGGGCGCTGAACCCGTATGCTGTCCTCCTGCTTAATGGGAAGGAGGTCCAGATATCGCGAAAGCTGAAGAGGACAAACAACCCCGTCTGGGACAATGCCACCAAGGAAATGCTCATCACTGATCGTAAGAAGGCCAGGCTGGGCTTGGTGATCAAGGACGACCGCGATCTGGCAACAGACCCAATCATTGGATCCTACCAGATCAAGCTTACCGACCTCTACGACTTGACGAAGAAAGGACAGGAGTGGTATAATCTGTCCGGCACCAAGAGCGGTCGTGCTCAGATGAAGCTTGAGTGGAAGCCTGTCGCATTGAAGGGCTCTGCCGCTGGTAATGGCTACGTTGATCCGATCGGTGTCATGCGTTTCCACTTCCAGTCTGCAAAAGACTTGAAGAACTTCGAGACTCTCGGCAAATCTGATCCATATGCCAGAGTTATGTTATCTGGCATCCAAAAAGGCAGGACCGTGACCTTCAAGAACAACCTCAATCCTGAATGGGATGAAGTATTTTACGTGCCAGTGCATTCTACGCGCGAACAGCTTGTTGTCGAGGTCATGGACGAAGAGAGTCTTGGCAAAGATCGCACTTTGGGCCAGATTGAAATCGCTGCTGCCGACTATATCCACCAGACTGAGACCGGCGAGTATGCAGTCCATGATTCGAAGCTTGATGTGATAACCTCGCAACTCCGCATCGGCCAGGGCACACCGAAGGGCATACTCAATTTCACTGTCGCCTTCTACCCGACCTTGAACGTTGTCGATCCTGAGGAAGATGATGAAGAGAAGAAAGCCGAGGCCGAAGCGGAAGCGGCAGCGGAAGCACAGGCTGCTGGACGCGTGAGCGTTGACGGTTCGCGCAAGAGCGTCGAAGGCGTAAATGGTTCAACCACGCCGACTGGACCGCAGCGGAACGGCACTGTTGGTACCATCAGCAGTCTGCGGCCAGAATCTACGAAAAGCAAATCCGAAGAGGTAGAAATGCGAAAAGCACTTGCCGACGGCGAAAAAGAGCAGACCGAGACAGCAGCGGTGGCTGTACCAGAAGTCCCTAAGATTCGGCTGGGTGCAGAGGATCTGGTTCAATATGGTAAGCAGATATTCTTTCATTTTTTAGTGCTTACAGGAAGCTGACATTGTCTAGAATCTGGTCTTATCGTGTTCACAATTCACGAGGGAGAGCTAGCACAAACTGGCAGCTATCTGCAAGTGCTCATTGATGACATGAAGTATCCTGCGTGGCAAAGCGCAAAGACGAAAAGTCGGACGCACAATTTCAACGAGACTGGTGACGCCATGATCCGAGAATTAGACTTGTCTCGCATAACTTTGCGTATTGTCTCTGATACTGACATCAAGGACGACAAGGACGATGACATCAAGGCCAAGCTTTCTGGAAGCACATTGGAGACCCTCAAACGGTGCCTATACACGCCCGCTGTGATCACCATCAAAGATCCACATGGCCACTCCAACAACATCAAAGTTTCCATGCGATATTTGCCCGTAAAGATGCAGCTTGACCCGAGCGAGTCCTTCAACAACCAAGGCAACCTGCGCGTGGAAGTGCTTGATGCTTCTGACTTGCCAGCTGCAGATCGCAATGGCTACTCTGATCCATTCTGCCGCTTCGTGCTTGATGGCAAGGAGGTGTACAAGACTAACAAGCAGAAGAAGACTCTGCATCCCTCTTGGAACGAGTTCTTTGAAGTGCCAGTACGCAGCCGAACAGCTGCCAAATTCGAGGTCAATGTATACGACTGGGACTTTGGCGAAAAGGCAGACTTCCTGGGAGCTGCAGCCATCAATCTGGCTATCCTCGAGCCCTTCCAGGCTCAGGAAGTCATCTTGAATCTCGACGGCAAGAGCGGCGCGATTCGTCTCAAGATGCTCTTCAAACCAGACTACATTACTCGCTCCCGACAAGGATCTTCGACATTCAGCGGTACTTTCGCGGCGCCGGGCAAGATCATTGGAGCTCCAGTAAAGGGTGTAGGCAAGGTTGGGACAGGCATATTCAAAGGCGCCACATTCGTCGGGCGAGGCTTCAAGCGAAGGACAGTCAGTGGTGCAGTGGAAGGCCCACCTGATGATGCGAATGCCGAGCTGCGGCCTACAAGCATGGAGTCTGCAGATGGAACCAGTAGGCCTGGCACGGCTGCGAACGGATATGCTCACGGCAATTCGATCGATGGCATCGCAGGGAAGGAGTTGCTGCAAACGCCTAGGACGCCTCATCAACGAACGCCTTCCGTAAGCCAAGCCAATCTCAGCCCCGGTGGTGAGAATGGCACAGCCAACATTAGCATCCTGAATGCATCTGGTTACCCCGAAGACGTCAAGCTGGAAATCCATGTGTATCAAGGCAGCAAGGAAGTGCTGAAGACGAAAGCAATCAAGGCCAAGAACGGCTCCGCAGAATGGGAAGACGAGCAGAAGCGGCTTGAATGCAACGCCGCAGCACCATTGAAGCTCATTGTGAAGAATGACAAGACTTTCAAGGACGAAGTGCTGGGAGAGAGCACTTTCTATGTCAATGACCAGGCTGGTGGCGGCGAGCGACGAATTCAATGTGGCGAAGGCACAGTCACTATTCGCACTTCATTCCAAGCTGCTGAAGCCCGTAGCCTGGCTCCAAGCCAATCACCGGGAGGCAAACCCAAAGGCTTCGGGCGACTCATGAGCCGACGAGAGCGCAGCGTTCCGCCGTCCAACTAGGACCAGGACGAGCCAAAGCTGAAGCGCTCAGGCACACACAAGCTGAAGGAGCGCGCAAAGACATTACTTCGCCGCCCGAACAAGGGATCTTCGCTGCGAAGAGATTCAAGCCAGCTTAGCTTGGCCTCTGCCGCGACTATGCCTCCTCTTCCCACGGCGTGGAGAGACAAACGGCGAGATTCTGCAGTGAGCAGCGACAATTCGACATTGAGATTTGATGACTTTGGATCAAAAGGGGGGAAAAGGGGTTCTTTTGCTGATACGGAATCAGCTGATACATAATGTTCTTGTTACATGTGCTGCGTGCAAGCAGGCGCGGCCTGGGGAAAGTCTTGATTTTAAGGGCGAGATGGGACCTGTGAGATACCACTATGCGCGTATAAAGCGACAGTTTCTTCTTGAATGTGGTTTTCCTGCTTGTAGCTAGTTCGCCTCTTCGAAATGCTGCTAACCTTTAACAGTGATATGTAGTTTTTGAAGTGGATCAGGTCCGTGCGTCTACCGGTTCAATACGTTCTTTACTTCCTCTACAAATCCCTAAGCTAGTCGGTATACGAGTAAGGGCAAACTTAGCTCGGTAGACAAATCCTTATACCTAAAGATATATAATATTTCATTAAAGAATTCAGCCCCGACGTATTGTCTCTTGAAATTTATGCTATAGGTCGGTTTTGCATCACTCTTCTGCTTCACGTGAACGCCAAGATTAGTTTCTCCGGTTGCCGAGTGGGGCACAGCAGCTCGAACCTTCGAGAGCTGGGATTCATCTGGACAGAGCAACAGAGCTTGAGTTTGCAGCCTTCCACTTCACTTGACAGCACTCAATTCCAACTCTCAGTCGCTGGTCAACGATTCACACATACTAACCTTGACTCACACCGACCAATATGGCAGAGGCGCTCAAGGCGGAGGGCAACAAGCTGTTCGCAGCGAAGGACTTTGAGGGCGCAGCGTGAGTTGATGTTCAAGCATGCACACGATCATTGCTATGCCTGGTTATGCTAATTAATGTAACAGTCAGAAGTTCTCGGAAGCCATTGAAGCTGATCCTAACAACCACGTCCTCTACTCGAATAGATCTGGCGCATACGCTTCCCTCAAACAGTATGAGTTGGCTCTCGCCGATGCGACCAAGACAACAGAGATCAAGCCTGACTGGAGTAAGGGCTGGGGTCGTAAGGGAGCAGCACTACATGGGATGGGAGATCTGATGGGCGCCGTGCAAGCGTTTGACGAGGCACTGAAGCTGGATCCAAACAATGCTCAGGCAAAGTCTGGTCGCGCAGCAGCTGAGCGCGCTATTGAGGCAGAGGCGAGTCGCGATGGCCTCGACCCAAGTGGAGGGCTGGGCAATATGTTCAATGACCCAAAGCTGTTCGAAAAGCTCGCAAAGAATCCCAAGACCTCGCATCTGCTCAGCGACTCGCAATTCATGACTAAATTGCAGAACCTGAAGAACAACCCACAAGGCATGCAGCAGGAGATGTTCTCCGACCCACGCTTCCTGCAAGTCATGGGTGTGCTTCTCGGCATAGATATGCAGATGAACCCGACAGACGATGCAGACCGCGATGCAGCCAAGTTCCAGGCCGACCACGATGCAAAGGTCGAGGATGTCGAGATGCCAGACGTGCGACCACAATCATCGAAGCCGGAACAGGCCCAGAAGGCTCCGGAACCGGAAGCTGAGCCGGAACCCGAAGATGAAGAGGCGATTGAGAAGAAGAAGCAGAAAGAGGCTGCCGATAAAGAGAAGGCGCTGGGGACCGAGATGTACAAGAAGAGGCAGTTCGACGAGGCAATTGCCCATTACACAAAGGCTTGGGAGACATACAAGGACATCACATACCTTACCAACCTTGGTGCTGCGAACTTCGAGAAGGGTGACTACGACGCGTGTATCGAGGCATGCCAGAAGGCAGTCGACCACGGTCGTGAGGTCTTTGCCGATTTCAAGATCATTGCCAAGGCTTACGGCCGCATTGGATCTGCCTACGAGAAGAAGGGCGATCTTGCCAACGCTGTCGAGTTCTACCAGCGCTCTCTCACCGAACACCGAACCCCAGATATCCTTAGCAAGCTGCGAGCTGCGGAGAAGGCGAAGATCAAGGCGGAGAAGGATTCGTACATCGACCCACAGAAGGCCGAAGAAGCACGAGAGCTTGGCAACCAGAAATTCAAGGAGACTGATTGGCCGGCAGCCGTGGAAGCTTACACGGAGATGATCAAGCGTGCTCCTGAAGATCCACGAGGCTACTCGAACCGCGCTGCATGTCTCATCAAGCTTCTCACATTCCCAAGCGCCGTCCAGGACTGCGATGAAGCTATCAAGCGGGACCCGAACTTCATCCGTGCCTACCTCCGCAAGGCACAAGCACTCTTCGCCATGAAGGAATACAACAAGTGTCTTGACGTTTGCGCGGAGGCAAGTGCGCACGATGCTGATGGCAAGAACGCACGCGAAATCGAGCAACAAAGCCAAAAGGCTTTGGAAGCACAATTCTCTGCGCGGGAAGGTGAGACGGAGCAGCAAGCGCAAGAGCGTATCCAGAGAGATCCAGACATCATGGCCATCCTGCAAGACCCAGTCATGCAGAGCATCCTGCAGCAAGCCAAGAATGATCCGGCGGCTCTGAACGACCACATGCGCAACCCGGCCATTCGCACCAATATCCAGAAGCTCATTGCTGCTGGTGTGATTAGGCTGGGAAGATAGAGTGGGGATGGAGGCGTGGGAATTTGACCAAGGCAAGACAATACGATCATCATGTGTATGTATCATAGCGCATAGCGAATATGGGTTCGGCTTCGGCGTCGACATAGCTGGATGGGTAATGTAAGATACAAAAGTCCTGCATCGAAAGGATGACAGCTGTACTTCGTTTGCTATCGGACATGATAGCATGTCTGTATGTTCAGTAAGCTTCATCTCTCTAGGTCGAGACTTCGGATTTACATGCATCATCTGCTCAAAGCGGTTGAAGCAGTGACCAGTACCACTTCCGAATGAAGCCTGACTTTCGAGACGCACCTGGTGGATTGGCGTACATGAACATAGAGTGCTCAAAGCACTGTCATTGTGCGTACGAAAAATGATAGAGCGACCGAGCGCGTGCCTGGTCATAGGATCAACGTGCCGAAACGTGCCCAAAACGTGTCGTGCTCGTGGACGCAAGGTTCGAACTTCTGGGGGGTGGGTTCTGGCATCCAGCTCGCCGGGTGACCTTGCCCTGTCACGTTTCGAGCTATTTTTAAGGGCAGTTCATCGACTCGAGCAGGGATGCGAGAGCTAAAATGCATTATGCTGGGGAGAGGCTCCACGCGCTAGTCGTTCCCAAAATAGCAACAAACCTGACGTCTAGCCATATCGTGAGGACGCGATTGATGGATAGGCAGAGCCCCAGCCCCAGCAGCGAGTAGTCTTCCAACGCCAACAGCGAGCAGTCCTTCCACGCCAACAGCGAGTAGTCTTTCCATAGGCGCGGAAATAATTGAAGGCGGAGTGAGCATGCCCGGTCCAGTGGAGAGTTCTGTGCTGACCCAGCGAGCGGCGCGTGCTTCTCATCGCTGGTCACGCTTGATCGCTGCGCCAGGGTGGGCGTGGGCGTGGGCGGGGGCATGGGAGGCACGGATGTGCCTGTCTGCACACTGCCCAGCAGAGCTTCACGGTCGTCCTAATTTCGGTAGAGACGCTCCGCATACTCTAACGGGGTGCCAGCAAGCAATGGCAGACGTGTGCTCCTGGCCCTGCTGCTGGAAATGGGAGCTAATTAGGGATCATTATTGCTGCACGAAAGACGGCAAAATTCAGCCTTGCCTGGCCTTGCTGCACCCCGGATTGCCCGTGACAGCGCGCGCTCAGCAGCACAGCGCACAGCACAGCACGGCGGCGCAGCGCACAGCACAGCAGCTTATTCTTCCTGGCGGCGTCCTGGTGTCGCCAGCGCGCCTCCTGAGGCCCGCCCATCGGTCCCAAATCCCAAAATACAGTACGCCTGCCATCTGCCATCTGCCACTGCCACTGACCCTGCCTGCCGTCCGTGCTTGCATCGTCCCGAATCCGAACGTTTGTCGATGGCCAGTCGCGCCTGGGACCAGCAATGGCCGCGCTCCTACTTATCCACCAACATGTCCGCCTCACACAGCAACATGGTCTGCCTCAGCCTAGCCTGCCCGCCCGCCGTCACTGCACGCCCCATCTACCACACCACTCTCATCCGTGAGGTGTTGTTGCCACCAACGCAACACCTCGCGCACCCTCCTCCACGCACACCATGACTTCGGGCCAGGCCTTTCCTACTCTGTCTGGCACAATCGACCCAGAACACGTGGGACCCGCGGAATGGTATGCGCCGAGTTCGGTATGTCAGCCCGCCCATCCTCAATCAATGGTCCGTCACTTCAGCTTCCATCAGACGTCGGAATTCGATAGACTGTCAAACTGACGTTGCAGCAGTATGCCTACAACGACCCCTATATCACTCCATATCCAGCGTCGACCGTCGAATCACAGCCATGGACGCAATATGCGCGAGCTTCCGTCCCGGACACCACGATGGCTCCTCCATATGGCGTTTCCGCACTGCCTCATCAGCCACAGCAAATACCAATCAAAGACCCGAGCCGCCCAAGGAGCAGTCCCAGCACCTTCGGCCCGTCAGCTGACTCCATTTCATGGACAACCACCGGTCTCGGCATCCAAGGTATCCAATATACAACTGCAGGCGGCCAACCAACCCCGCCAGTGACTTCTGCATTCCCTCCCAATGTCTTCCAGACATATCCTCCAGATGATCATTTCGGGAACAGTCCGCCTGAGATTCGGCAGCCGCAGCCTAGGAGGCCATACACCAACATTGCGCCCAATCCAGTTGGCGCTGCTGCTAAGCGCAAGCGCGACGAAGAAGAGCAGCAAGCTACCCCTGGATCCGCCGGCAAGCGACGAAAGCGCACCTCATCAGTCGCATCAGCAGATTTGAGCGAAGACGATCGATTCCTCGTTCAGCTCAAGGAGGACGAGAACCTGCCATGGAAAGACATTGCCACTCGCTTCCAGACTGAGAAGGGCAAGAACTTTCAAGTCGCCGCGCTTCAGATGCGCTACAAGCGTCTGCGTGAGAAGTTTCGCGTCTGGGAAGACCAAGATGTCCAGGCTTTGAAGCTGGCGCACGAGTACTGGGAAAAGTACAAATGGGAGATCATTAGTGCCAAGGTAAGAAAGGAATATCGATCATATCGACTCAAAAGAACGACCGCTGACAGCATGCCTGCAGATGCTCGACTTCGGCATTCAAGAACGCTGGCCTGCACGCCATGCCGCGCGCAAATGGCAGGAACTCGAAGCCACAGCTACGACGACGCATCCAACGACAGCCGGACTCACATCTGCTTCCATTTCACAATTCTCCAGCCCCATAGATGGGCCTGTACAGTTCGCATTCATGCCTCTCTCATGACTATATGGTCGGGAGGATGGACTGCCGCAACCCGCGCGATCGATTCGCGCTTGATCAACAAGCCTGCTTTTGGTTCTGGCTCTTCTCTTGATACGAAAATTCACGGACGGTGTTTTCTGCTTTCGACATTGCATGGTTCGAACGGCTGCATTGCATTTTTTATAGAGGGGGGTTTTGCTGATTTCTTGCGCGTTTTTCTTCGATGATACCCGGGACGCTCGCTCTTACTTTCTCGCCTGGTCTCTGGGACTCAAAATGATACCCCCCAAGTTCATTTCATTCGCTTCACGATATATGCGATCTGGCCTTCTGCATTGGGTAGCAGCGGATATCTGCTAAAGGGGAATGGCATTTTTTTGGAAGCATTCATTTTTGAAAGACGACAGTGATTCGCATTTGCATGGAATCTGTATATACGGCGCTACGATAGCAGCGATGCCAGTACATGGGTTGGGTTGCTTGTTGTGGCTTTTGTATCCACAGTCTTTTACTGTGTTGTAGCATATCCAGCAATTGAAGACTTCTAAACCATTTTCTCTACACCGTTCACTTCTTCATTTTCAAGCTAGAGCGATGCACTCAAGCTCGACAGGCACACCCTTTGGCAGCTCCTTGACGGCGACGCATGAACGAGCCGGCTTGTGCTGTCCAAAGTACTTCTCGTACACCGAGTTCATCTCCTATGCTCTCGCGTTAGCAACCGATTGTACGATATTGTGTGCTCGTAAATACAAAACTCACAGCAAAGTTCTCCATGGACGTAATGAACACAGTGACCTGGAGACGATGCTCGTTAGCACCATCATCATCTAAAAAAATTCAAATCACACTTGACTATCGCAGCAGTAGTCCGCGCGTGGCAAAGATGTAGTAGATCCTTCATCATGATGTCGATCAATAAAGCATCCATGGGCCCACGTGCTGCAGCGTGGGATGTCGAGCCAAGAATCCAATCTGTCGATCAAAATTCATCCAGACAATTGTCTTGATGAATAATGCAAACAAGGAAAAAAAAATAAATCCTAGAGCTTGGGCTCTGTGATCCCGAAGCAGATCGTTTATTTTTAGTGTTGAGCAACATTATGTTGACTTGCGTACCTTAGTAACCTTTGAAATCGAAGATCCCGCCGCCTCGAGGATGTTCTTGAGACCTTCGCAGCACACTGTTGTCTTGTCGGCAATGCTGCCCTCAACCAGGCTTCCATCTGGCGCGGCTGGGATTTGGCCAGAGACGAAGACAAGGCCCCCGGCTTTGATGGCTTGGGACTGTGACGTGACGCGAGTCAGCGGGGGAAAAAAAATTGACATATGGTATCGATGGAGGCAGGGACAAAGGGCGCCTCTACATATATATATCTGTGTTGTGCAAAGAAGCGTGATGCATGAGGTGGGGTCGGTACGTACGTATGGCGCAACGGCTTAAGAAGGTCGATTGTTAGCTTTCATGATCAAGAGCTCGGATATATGGTGATTTGAGGGTGTGTGAGTTCTTACGCTGAGCTGCCTTGGGAGTCGAGATGTGCTGAATTTCAGACATTGTGCGTGTGGGTTGATCTGGCGAGAAGGTGGAGATTGGGGCTTGTGTGGGGGCGAGACTATTCGAGAATCCACCCCGGCTATTCGAGAATCTACGGACCTAGGGCCGCTCCGGTCTCGGTGAGACCAAATTGGTAGTAATCTATATAGAATAATATCGCATGAAGACATGTGATGCCCTTGCTAGCTGCTTAGTAGAATAATAACGTAGGAAAGAAGAATTAAGTAAATAATAGACGTAGAATTCGATACTATAGCTAATCCTAACTGTTCTAGGCATACTGCCTGCCTAGCAAATAAGGTTCTACTACCCTCGCATTAACGTATAGCTCCTACTATACTAAATTAGTGTAGCCTAAGATACCTGCTAGCGCTATAGGTACTAGTAGAGTCCTCGGAGAGGGAGGAGGCCCCTATATAGGTAAATAAGTAGATATAGGGTCCCTATCGTACTGCCTATACTTATAGCAGCCTACGTAGCAGTCTACGTTGTCTTTAACGCACTTGCACCTCCTATAGGCCGTTTTGTATATATAACCCTTGCGTAAAGGTTGCTATAGTACCGGTAGTAGTAGAAGTAGAATAGGCCTTCTAGGCTTAGCCTATCTTATCGCTTCTTGCTAGTCTATAGCCTTAGCGGCTTGTTCAATAAGCTTAGGTCTAGTTGCCTTACGCCGAGTCGACCGTATAAGCCGCTTATTAATCCGCTTAAGTAGCTCTAAGGTACGGTAAGTAGTAGTAGCCTTGTTGCTATTATAATCGCTCCTTAGTATTCGCTAGTACTTGTTAAACTAGCCGATAGTAAGAATGCCGGCTATAGACTCCTCGATTATTAGCATTTAGTATATACAATTTAGGCTATAGACCCTTCGATAGTACTAGGTATATACTAATAGCCTATAACTATTAGACTTCCGCTTCTCGAGCTTACTACGTACAAGAGCCCTTCGCTCGGCTACCTTCTATAGAGCGAAGGTACTAATATAGCTAATAACCTCGGTATAGAGGGGGTCGTTTAAAAACACCGTTACTAGTCGTATAATCTCGAGTCTAACTATTGCTTAATAGCGGTTAACCTAGTGCTAGAAATAGGGCACTATCCGGTTAATAAAGCTATAGATATTATTCTTATAGGTCGTTAACTATGCCTTAATACTAGCGTAACAACCTTCTACTAGCGAGGTTGTTATATTGCTAAAATAGCGTGTCCTATTAATCTAGTATTTAATATAGTGCTGTCGGTGAATCTACTATATATTAGCTATATAACTAGCTAGTATTTGCTAGCCCTTATTGTCCGAGTAGTCTCGTATAGGCTTACCTTCACTAGCGGCAATCTTGCCGCTCTCGAGGGCCTTCGAGTTAGTTGCAAACGACTCAACCGACGGCGAGTTAATAGCCTTATTAAATAGGTCTATAAAGTCCTATATAGCTACACTTAATGGCCTCCGCCTTGTCGATAGATTAGGTAGCCTAGTACTAAGGAAGGCCTTCGTATTAGCCTCTACTGCGCGTCTAATATGCTAGCAGTAGAGCTATGTATATAAATAAGTCTAGTCGCTTGCTAGTGCCTTAATTAGTGCCTTGTTACGGTTATAGATTATAAGCCGTAGCTCTTCTATACCGTATTCTAATAGCAACTCCTATATATAGCTAATAGCTATAGAATACTATTTAGTTGCCTGTCTAGGCATAAATATAAGCGCTAAAGGGAAGGTTTAGTTAAACTAATTAAGTAAGGCGATTACAAGTAATAGCAAGCTGTATTCGTTAGTTTTATAGGTGCAATCTATAACTATAATATCCGGACAGTTCTTATAGATATTAATTATCTTAGGGTGCGAGAAATACAGCTATTCTAGCCGTTGCTTACCGCTTAGTCTAGTGCTAATACCCTTCTATACGAAGTAGTTCTATTATAGGAGGTCCTCGATCGTCTTATCGACTACTAACTTACTAGCGAGTCGCAACTTCTTAGCCTTTTGCTAGGCATTTAAGATATCTCGTAAAGTGGCGGGTACGATAGGCGATTGCTAGTCTCTACTACTACTAAAACGGAGCTTAATAGCGGCCTTAATCTGTCGATTAGTAACGCCTATAGACCTTAACTACAATATAGCCTTAATAATCTCTGTCGTACGAGCTCGGCGGCGGTAATTAGCTAGCGCTATTAGATAGACTGCTAGATAGTTGTAGTTAGAGCTATTAAATGTAAGAGACTAGGTGCTATTATCGGGGTCCTTCTAGTCGTCCGTAGTAAGGGCTATAGACTAAGAGCAATTACACTTCTTTAAGCGGCCTTTACGAGTCTTAGTAGTAGGATAAAGAAGCCTTCTCTCGTTACGCTTCTTCCTTACCGTCTCGCGTAATGCCGGTATTAAATACTTAGCGTAGCGCAGTAAGAAGGTCTAGTAAGTATAGTCCTTATTGCGCTTATAGCCGGTCCTTCTAAGCTTAAACCCCTTCTCTAGTGCGAATGTGTCTATATAGTCCTCGGCTGCTATAACACTATTAAATACCTAGTTTTCGGGATTCTCGATAGTTGCGTACGATCTAGGTTTATAAGCCTCTGCCTCTAACTTAGACTAGTTACTATATTCGTCGTTGTTGCTAAAGTTATAGGCTAGTTGTTAAGGAGACTCGATTTCTACCGAAGGAGGGCGTTATTCTTACTAACTAACCCCGCCTTCGCCGTTGTTACTATCGCTACTACTACTACTACTAACTTTAACTTCTTCTTCTTCTTTACTATTCCATTTACTACCCTTACTGCTTAGTAGCCTCTACCTCTTACTAGGTATAGCATATAGTATAAAGCGGATCGCTTTATGCCCTACTTCGTACTATTCTAGCAAATTGTCGATAAAGGGGATAGTTAGGTTAAGAGTCTCGAAGGTGCTATCTAGCTTACTAGCTAACTAGTTAGAGGGATTAAGACTATCGTGTCTAGCCTTATACTAATAACTAATATAGCGCTACTTATACGTCCGCTCGCTTTCCGCTATATCTTCCTAGAAGTCTAAGAGAAATTGCTTTAAATACTAACGGTCGACACCCTCCTAGTATTAGTAGGCTAGCTAGTGTTTTAGTCTATATATCTGCTTAACCTATAATTTAAGGCCTCCGAGGTTACCTAGGTACGGCTCTCGCTCTTACCGTAGCCTCTTACTACGTATTCTTTATAGCTAGAAGACCTTCGGATTATATATATTACCCCCCTATTAAATAGTAGGCGTAGCGGCGGCGGCGGCGGCGGTAATAGTAGTAGTAGTAGCGGCGGTATTACACTCGGCTTGTAACTACGTAGAAGGGCTTAATAACATAGCTATCGATAGCGATAGTAAGGTTAAAACAGTAGTTAAAACAGCGGCGACGGTAAGGTCTAGCGGTAGAGAACATAACTAACAAATTTGCCTTAGGCCTCCTCCGCGATTAGACTATAGATTCTCGAATAGCTAGGGTAGATTCTCGAATAGTCTCGCCCCTTATATAGCCTAGTAGGAGTTAAGAACGGCAAGCCTAGAGGGAAACAATCTTCTTAGATTTCGTAGTAGTAGCATACTAGAAATCTAAGGTAGAAAGGATAGTCGGAGTAGGTCGGGACGGCGTTACGCGAAAACCTATATATCTAAACTAGGCGGGAATTCGCGGAGTAGGGGCACTGTACGATACCTTATATATACGATAGTAGTTATTATAGTGCATTTATAAACTATTATTATTAAAATATAGTTATAGGCAGCTACGCGGACCTATAAATTATAATATGCTTATAGGCGGCTTCGCGGGCCTATAAAGGACGAGCGAAGCCTTATACTCTATAGAGACAACAGAATACTACTACCGTTAGTACCGTTAGTATTATACTAATCACTTTTGCTAATCACTTCTAGAAAGACTATACTAATTAATAGAAAACTACTAGTATTTCACCATCTTTTATCCATCTTTTATTTGGCCTACTACTAACCGACACTGCTATAGTAGTACTACGAGCTTCGCTCGCAATAATCGAAATAGTTGCAGAAGGGTTTTGCGGGCGATCGGCTTTCTTTGTCACACTCACCCGAGAGTAGTTGTCACAGTGCATTCATAAATCATTATGATGATTATCATTATATCTCAAAGTCTATGTCCACTCGTGATTTACCTTCTATACCATAAGCTTGGTCGCCATTCGTATCATCGTCATCGTCTGGGAGGTCTTCTCCACCTTCCACCTCTTCAATACCCTCATCGAGATCCTCGATAGGATATGTGAGAATAGCCGCAACACCTCCAAGATTTTCCAGTCGCTTCCCGCTCTCGTGCATGCTGCTCAGGATCCTCACCTCGCCGCCCTGGGCCTTGACCTCATCGACCACCTTCACCCAGCGCTTGCGAGTCTTGATGTCTTGACTGCGGAACAAAGAATTTGAGATGAGTAGTGCGCCGCCGCCCTTGCCAACAGCACCTCGCTCTACTGCAGTCTCGCATTCTTTGGGACCGTACCATGCTCGTTGATCTTCCTTTCTGATCATCTCGAAGAATTTGTCCATCAGTTGTGTTTCTCGAGCAAACTTTGTGTCGCTGAGTTTGCTCGTGACTGCAGGGCTACTGAGCACTTCGCTCAGACTGTGGAGATGGCCTGATGCAGAATGCGCGACTGTAATATTCGAGACGAGTTGTTGGAGCTGCGTGTTCGCTCCTGTCGTGGCCTGCCTCTTGATAAAGGCTTGAAAGCTGTTTGCCGTAAATCCAGGACTGGCTAAGAGGAGCGGCATGGGGTTGGCGAGGTCGATTTGTCGTAGTAGAGAGTCGAAGGTGATCTGGTAGAACCTTTCCAATGCTTTATCGTGATCAGTGGAGCCTGCGCGCTTCTTGGGTAGATTGACCTCGATCTTCTGTCGAAGAATCGTCTGATGTTCCGTTATTAGGCAGATGTTCGCCAGACCCTCTTGCATGACGACTGCCCACAGAATAGCCTTCTTGTCCTGGTCGATTGCCTCTTTGAGTGTGTCCAAAGCTACGCTGTCCCAGCCATCCGCCTTTTCCAGTGTGAAGTTCCGTTGCAACTCGAGATCTAGAGTATGAAAGCTGCCCAGCTTGACCCATTTGTTCTCTTCGGCTACTTGCCCTGACACATGGAGCTGTCTTGCTTGGGGGTCGAAATCGAGCTTCGTAACGCGTACAGTGAGGTTCATGTGCACGCGCTCGTTGGAACGAGCGCCAGATCCGGACTCGGTTACAACTTTTCGTATAGCAGATGCGCGCAGCAGGTCGGTGGGTCGTATGAGGTTGTAGGCATGCCACTGTTGACGAGTTAAATCTGGCTACACAAAGCGCAGGTTCTGGGACTAACATGCTCACCATGTCCTCAGGCTCTTCTGGCAGCAGTGTCGCGCTGCCAGAGCCATCCTTCTGCACAATGGCGTGCTTGATGAGTCGCATCTCGAACGTCCTTTGCTTGAGCAATGATGTTTTGTCAACGTTGTCGAAGTCGAAGTCGAGTCATGGAGTTCCTAAGCTCCACAAAGAATCCCGGCCCGCATCGGCATGTGGGGTCTTGGGCGCGCCCAGTGACGCACTCCAGGTGAATGAACTCTACGCTCACTCTCTCTCCTCTCCGCCATCAACTCTTGCCATTGACATCTCATCAGTCATTGCATTATTGTGCGTGCATCCAGTGCCTTGGCATGAGCGCTCTTCGCAGGATCACGATCCTTGCGAGACAAACTTCACGATCATCACAGCATCGAGCCTTCTCAACCAGCATCCCAGCCATGGTGAAATTGGACGTCAGCTCAACGGTCAAGCTGCCATCTGGTCACGAGATACCCATGCTCGGTTTCGTAAGTAACATCTAGAACTGTTCTATAGATAACTCCTGTTACGGTCCAGCCTTATGAGCTTTGATCTCCCCCACCCTGGAATCTGCACATCCTGGCTGTCGAAACTTCCCGCTTTGTCTTCGGTAACGCTGTGTTTCATCTGCTGATGAATTCAAGTGCACAGGGCGTGTATCAAACTCCCGCAGATGTAGCCGAAGATGTCACAGACCATGCGATCAAGAATGGGTACCGCCATGTGGACAGTGCTACGGCCTACAGAAACGAGGAACCGTCGGCGAAGGTAGCATCGCGCCGTTGACAATATCATCTGCCATCTTGACTGAGAAGACATTCTAGGGCATGCTCAAGTCTGGCATACCTCGCGAACAACTGTTCTTCACGTGTAAGTCTACCAGCGTATCGATGGCTACGTTCGTAGTGTCAGGAACAGCGATTCAGTCCAGGCTCTAAGTTTGGTGTGATGTTTTATGCAGTGTGATGAAGGAGCACTTGCTAATCCTTGCGTTCATCGCTTAGCGAAGGTCCCTCCCAAGTCCATAAATTACAAGGATGCTAAAGCCTGCGTCGACGAGTCATTGAAGAAGACAGGCCTCGACTATTTTGATCTCTATCTGCTCCATGCCCGTGCGTCTAAACCCATTCAAGCCTCTTCCATGTTAAATGAGACTGATCCATTGTCCAGCATATGGTAGCAAGGAAGGCAGATTGGGCGCGTGGAAAGCTCTAGTCGAAGCCGTCGAAGAGGGCAAGGTCAGAAGCATCGGTGTTTCCAATTATGGCGTGCACCATCTCGATGAACTGGAGCAATGGCAGAAGGTGCGGGATGACTTCGGACGGCATTTAGCATGCTATCATGCTGACCGATAGACAGGCGAATCCAGACAAAGCTGGTGTGTTGAGCGTCAATCAGGTTTGGAAGGGCAGCATGAATTCGGACATTGCGAGATGCTGATACGCTTCGCAGATCGAACTGCATCCGTGGCTCGCTCGGAAAGATATCGTGGATTGGTGCGAGAAGCGCGGCGTCGTGCTTGAGGCCTATTCACCACTTGTCAGAGCGACCAGATTCGATGATCCACTGCTAAAGCCACTTGTCGCAAAGCACAACAAGACACCGAGCCAGATATTGCTTCGTTGGGGCTTGCAGAAAGGCTTCGTGATACTGCCAAAGAGCGTCACGCACAAGCGCATCGAGGAGAACAGAGACCTGTATGACTTTGATCTTTCGAAGGTATGCATATGCTTTAAGCGGCTTGCGAGAAGTTCTTGGGTCTTCTGCTGACCCGATATCAAAATTGACAGGATGATATGGCCGCTCTACACACGGACAAGTATGAGCCTTGCGCCTGGGACCCGACCAAAGCGCCACTCAGTTCGTGAAGAGGTTCTTGTCAGGATGTACTCCGGGATTGACGTGCGTGCAAGGCGGTGGGCTGGTCTGGCAATTCGGCTTCGGCCATATGATGAGCTATGCCTCTAAGTTTGCGTCAAACGTGCTGTGAATGTCGCAGCGCCCGGCGGCGGGGTCATACGGGCAGCTGCTGTCACAACATAAATCGAACAGAAGGAAATGCGACTCGCAGCTTTGCGCGCCGCTGACTCCATCATTCTCGCCCAGCTCAAGCTTGTCGGGTCATAGCGCATGGCAGGACACCTCATCAGCTCTTGAGCCGTCACAGTGACAGCGTAGCATCCGTTGTCAGAGGATCGGCCAGTATGCTGTGCTTGTGACCACGAAAAGTGACGCCAGTCCATCACCGGGCCTGTCTACAACGCTGCCCGATGGTGTGTCTTGATTGGCTGGCCGTTCTCCTGCGTGACCTGAGAGTCTGGCGATCTTAGCTCCTCCACTCCGTTGCGAACGCCGAACGGTACAGAGGTACATTTCCAGATGATTTCATGCTCGCTAGAGTCTCCACCTGTTCGGCAAAGATGAGGGTTGCGGGGAGAGCTGTGATGCATTTCGAGCGCGTGAGAAGTCCGCTCCGGCGCAACGGATGGGAAGGAGGTGATGAGGTGCCACTGCCAAGCACGAGGGATCGCCGCGTGGACGACACGAGATCGTAGCAGCACGAACAGCAGATATCCGGTTGATGAGTCGGGTAAGTGGAGTCGCACAGGTGAAACGTGAAATTTATTATTATTTCCAGCAAATGCTCATCATCCTGCTGGATCCCGAGAGACACGTGATGTGGCTCTGTGGCTCTGTGGCTCTGTGGCTGATGGGGGTCGTCACAAAATTCTCCGACCTCGCGCTAGGCTCAACCGAGGCCACAGCAAAAGATCCCTTTGAAAGTTCGTCGGCTGGAGTGGTTCATGCAAGAGCCCCTGCATAGCTAGGGTGTGCAGGACGCGCTTTGCTATAGATAGCATAGTAAATTATCGCTTGCTAGGCTAGTATTAGGGATAGCGCTATTACTATTTTTCACACTCCGTAACCGGCTCTTCTTTAACTCGTTAGTTGTCCGATTAACTTTAAGCCTCGAAGGCTATTTTAACTGCTCTTTTATATAAATAGCTTCTTCTTAGTATTATAATAGCGCTCTATTTAATAGCGATAATAGTAACGATAGCTACTAGTCCGATATCGATAAGGATGCGGTTTACGACGTTAGTACGCTCGGTATAGAGCCGGAAGAGGAAATAGGCGAGATTAAGGCGCAAGAGGTAGTTATAGGTTGCGAGAAGATTAGAGCGACTTATAGTATAGAATACGAGCCGAATAGCAGAGACAATAAGCCTCTCGTTGCTAGCGATATTATTAATAGTATATTAGTCGAGGAGGGTATACTAGATATATTAAACCTAGTAATAGCACCGGATTAGTCGCGTTTAATAGATAGTATAAAGTACGTGCCTTTAGAAGGTATAAAGTGCGAGGTAGAAGTGCGCCTACTACTAAATAAGGCCTTCTTCGAGGGTATAGATTACCGCGGTAAGGCCTTCGAGAAGTTGACTTCTAAAGACTACTAGAATATACTATAGCGATATTTCTAGCAGTTATAGACTAATGAGGTCTATAAGAAGTTAGTATTCTATACTAACGAGTATACGAGGGATCCGAAGTTTAAGAAGATAAACAATAGTAGTATAATTAAGGTAGTAGTGTCCGGAGCTAGGTAGAAGAAGACCTATCTATATAAGATAGCGATCTTCGTAGGAATTATTATTTATATGTCCGCTGTCTAAATAGACGATAAGTCGGACTTCTAGCGGTCTAATAGATATTAGCCGTCTTATTCTATTACTAAGAATATATCCGAGAAGAGGTTTAAGCAGTTAAAGGCCTATCTATAGTATAGCGAGCCTATCGAGTCGGGCAAGGGCAACCCGCCGTAGTTATAGGTTTAGTAGATAGCTAACTACCTAAGAAGCCGGATTTCGAAGGTTTATATACCTAGTACTAACATTAGCCTAGATAAGGTCCTCGTATAGTTTACTAGACGCTCTTCTTATATAATAATAATAAAAGGCAAGCCCTGCCCTATCGGCTATTATGTGCTAGCTCTGTGTTATGCTAGATTTATCGTTTCTTAGTTATTCTCGTTACCTACTAAGAAGTAGGGTTTTAAGAAGGCAAGAACACCTCCTAGCTTCGAAGGTCTAATTCTCGTCTATAAAGAGCTTACCGAGGACTAAACAAATAAGCGGAGCTAGCGCAACCGTCGCACTATTAAAGCCGATAGTTAGAAAGGTAGAAACCGGCGTAGAAGGGTAAAGAATATTAATATAGGTAATTAGGTTGATGCTCCGCCGAGCCTTTATAAGTACGCCGACCTCTACGCGAGGCCGCTAGCGGTTATAACCGAGCTAGTTATAGCGTAGTCTATTAACCTTAGGTCGCAGTTATCGAGGCTTTATAGAGCCGTCCTATTACTTCTATTACAACTGCTATTCTAGGAGCGATTCTACTACGTTTACCTAGATAATCTATTTAATAATATACCTCTCTTTACTATCCTTAGATAGTGTAGTATCGCTGCAACTAGTACGGTACAAGCTAGGTCGAAGAACTAGCTATAGGCGGGTGCCTTATTCTCGACACCCTCTAGTAAGACTATTAAGCTATATCGCAAGTCGATACGGTTTCCCTTCGATATACAGCTTTATAGGGCAATTTACAATATAGCGGCGCCTATCTAGCAGGACAGAAATCTCGTTTAAATGCTAATAACTAGTTACTAGCCTATAGACCGAGAATCGAGGGAACGACGGAAGCCGAGAGACACTAACGCCTACATTCGCAACTACGTTAGGCTACACTAGACCGAAGGTAAGGAGGTTAAATACATACCGAAATACGCCGCTTATTACAATAACTATATAGGTAGTGTCGACATTTACGACTAGCTTAGGTTCTATTATAGCACTTAATACAAGGCCTTTAAGCCGTAGCATTTGCTATTCTACTTCCTTCTCGACGTAGCCGTAATTAACGCCTATCTCCTATACCGCAACGCCTCTATAGCTAACAAGGTAAGGGATCCAACCCTTATATAGCAGCGTAACTTCTGTATACGACTCGCCTAGAATTTAGTCTAATAAGGAGCCTTAGTATTAGGTCCTATTCGAATAGTAGAGAGAGAGGCTGCCGTAGTAGTAGTAAGAAGCCTGCCTCGCATACCTAATAGCCGCTTTACGAGTAGCTATATATACGCTAATTATAACGCAGGCGTAGCGAGGCCTCGTCGTTACTACTTTAAGAAGGGAGATAGTATTCCGGACAACTTGCTACGGCTTAATCGCAGTTATAGGTATATAATAAAGGTCACTCTTATAAAGCCGAAGAGATGCTAGCTCTATAAACTAACTCGTACTAGTTAGAAGCTTAAGTAGTAGCCTATTAACCTATATAGAAGACGAGAATACGAGGCTACGAAGACCTACCTTAATTGCGGACCTAAATATAACCTATGTAGTCTATACTGCTATAACTAGTATAATATTAACGATATCCGCGCTTACCGAGAGGCTTAGAGGCTAGTATTTGCTAACGACCGACCTTTAACTACTAACAACTCGACTTCTACGAGTACTTTAGCTATTGCAACACCGGCTCGGCGGCCTTCTATTAAGCCTATAACAACGACGACAACAACACCTTTAGCTCTTTTACTTCCTTCGTTAAATCTACTACATTAGACGCTAATTAATTAAACTCGGAGGCTCTAACAACCTCTTCCTCAATTTAAGAGCCTTCTATAGTAGTAGGCTCTTCCTTTACTATAACCCCCTTACGTACGGCCTGCGCTTACTACTACTGCTATACGTTTAAATCTACCCTTAAGTCCTTTACCTACGCTTCTACCTTGTTAAGGCGCTTAAGAATTGCCTTAGACTAGTTACTAGCAGTCGACAATCGCTACTTTAATAGACTTCGTAGTAGTACGAGCTACCGCACCTCTTCTACGCTTAATTTAATACCCTTCGAGCGGAGCCTACGGCGCTAACGAGACTCTTCCCTAGTGCGGAAGTGCGTACGTAGCTATTATAAGTTAGCATCTATATTCTATAGGTCTATAGTCTATAAACCTCTCGCTTTAGTATGCTTAGCGGCATTGTATTCCTTTACTTGCTTAGGTTTAACTAGCAAAGTTAATCTCTAAGGGTGCGGCGGCCTATAAACTACCCTCCTTGCTAACCCTAATCGATACCCTATCCGGAGCGAGGTCGGCTGCAAAGGAAGGCCTAATCGGCGTTCGCCGCACTACCAAAATTAATATAGAAAGTAGAACCATTAGTAGGACTAGTTCGCTAAGAATCACCGAGATAACCTTTAAAGGGATGGCTGCTTCTCGAGCGCGCCTATAGCACTAACAGGCTTCACGCTACAGTAAGCTTGGTAGTGACGACCAAGATCGTTTACTTCCTTGCTTATGTACACAACACACCCCCTGGCATCTCCGGTTCAACGGGCGCGACTCAGCCTTCTCAAACAACTGACCACCTACCAGTCATGCAATTCTTATTACTCGCCGTTTCAACGACCACAAAGATCCCTGCCCCCCCCCCCCCCCAGGTTTCCTCTTGGCGGCTCTCCGGGTTGCGGTCTGCTGCTGTCATCCTGTCATCAGCCCGCAGCACCTCTTGGACGTCTCGTGTCCAAGCATTACCCGTACCTGAAAGAGCCACATCCGTCATATTCAGGTCCACCTTCGACCCTGCGCCCGGAGCTGGGAAATATTTTCGCGCTGCGACATTGTTCTCATAATCCGAAAGCTTCCAAACATCCACCGCAGATCTTTCTAGCCTTTCCCGGCCTTCTTGGGGCATTCCACCGGCGGCTCTGGGAGCCCGCCGGTGCGGTGGTCGAGGTCACAAGAGAATAATGCAAGGATCTATGTCGTGGCGCCTCCTCGCGCAGTCAAGCGATGCAACCATCCATGCCTTTTGCGGAGAAGACTGCCTCTCCAGCACTTCTTTTCGACGATCTTGACGTGCGCGCTGTGCTGGCATATCCGTCGCTGGGCACTTAGGGTAATGACCCTGGTTTGCTGATGTCGATACATAAGGGCAGGGTGGCCAGTTCCGAGTGTGCTCTAACGACCTCATTTCCATACGAGAACCTACGCTCGCGTGGTCAGGGACGTTACGTATCCTGTGCTGTTGGTTACAGCACGACATCTTTTGTGTATCTTCCCTCTCCCACCCTTGTTCTAGACCATCTCCAACACTCTCCTCTGTGCTAACAGTATGGGCTTCCTGCAGCTTAGCACAGCAGCGATCGCATTGCTTGGAAGCTTCGGCCAGGCAGCACCGCTCGTAGAAAAGAGGGACCTCAAGTTCGCTTTTGGGCAACAGAAGGTATGTCGCTCGACCGCATTTCCTCTTTTGGACCGTACTCATCATGGGAAAGGTCCGCGGAGTGAACTTGGGCGGGTGGTTCGTACTCGAGCCATGGATTACTCCTTCCATATTTGAGGCAGGCCCTGCTGGAGCAGTCGATGGTATGTTGATGCAAGAAGTATTTCTTCAATCCATGACCTGACTAGTCTCCCAGAATATACATATACCAAACTGCTCGGCAAGACGGAGGCTTCGACGCGTTTGGAGCGACACTGGAGCACCTTTTACACCGAGACCGATTTCGCACTCATAAAACAATACGGGCTGAATTTCGTTCGCATTCCAGTCGGCTACTGGTCTGTGACTCCCCTCGACGGCGATCCTTACGTTTCCGGCGCATACAAACATTTGGCCACAGCTTTGGACTGGGCAAACAATCATGGCCTCAAGGCTATGATCGATCTCCACGGAGCACCATTGAGCCAGAATGGGTTCGACAACTCAGGAAAACTCGGACCAATAGGCTGGACGCAGGGCAGTTCTGTCACGCAGACGAAGAATGCCTTGAACAAGATTCGAGATGATTTCGCCAACCACCCTGCAGTAGCCGCAATCGAGCTGCTCAACGAACCAATGGGGCCATCTTTGGACATGAACGTCGTTCGGCAATTCTACTATGACGGTTGGGGCAATTTACGCAATAGTCCTGTTGCTGTGACGTTCCATGACGCCTTCATGGGTGTAACATCGTGGAATTCCTTCGGAGCCGGTATGCAGAACCTACTCCTGGATACCCATCATTATGGTCAGTGTTATTCTTTGGTTTGTTCTCGGTCGAATACATACTAATATCGCGCGTAGAGGTCTTCAGCTCGGGCGAGCTTCAGATGAGCTACCAGGACCATCTCAACACGGCAACAAATTTTGGCAGCCAGATGGCATCCAACAACAAGTGGACCATTGCTGGAGAGTGGTCAGGAGCCATGACAGATTGCGCGAAGTGAGTATAGCTCTGTGTGCCGATTGCAGCCGAATGTGCACGACCAAGGCAGGCGTGTCAGAGACAGCAGCACCATCTCGCCGCTGTGCCGCGGAGTGAGCATCTCCAACAGTGCTAACTGATTGCTTTCAGGTGGCTGAATGGGCGTAATGTTGGCGCAAGATACGACGGCACATTCAATAAGAACGGCCAAGGCTCCTCGTACATCGGGAACTGCGCAGGCAAGGCCAGCGGAACCGTGGCTGGACTCAGTCAGACGGACAAGAACAACATCAAAGGCTTCATTGGCGCGCAGATGGCGGCTTATGAAAAGGCGGCGGGATGGATTTTCTGGACGTGGAAGAATGAGGGCGCACCAGAATGGCACTTCAAGAATCTCACGGATGCTGGCCTGGTGCCAAGGTGAGGGTGGTGAAGAGGTGAGTGCTCATGTGATAGCTTTGGTGCGTCTCATACTGACACAGGACGACCAGCCGGGCGCTATCGTCCATTTCTCACGGGTTCCAGCTCGGCGCTGTATCGTTGGAGACGTTCCATGGAAAGAGCACGATGGCTATGATGTCGATGAATGATGAGTGTGATGAAGAGACGGAAGAAATGATTATCTTCGATGATACCCTCGTACCGTCGTTGCCGTTCGGCACGCTGTCTCCCGCGTTTCGGGAACTGTGTGGTTTCGCGAACACCGCCGGTTTTGCGCTGTATGTACATAGGATGGGAAAAGATGCAGTCAGAACAGTGATACGTGAGGTTTTCTGATCAACCTTGCTTATCACACACGCATGGCGCCAATGCGGCAGGGGCCGACACAGGCCCCCTCACTGCCGATCATCTCCTCGCGTGGTCGAGATGATGATTATTATTGTGGAGAGGTGGAGAGAGGCAGGAGGGCACTTCACTCTGCAGACGAACAAGTGCTGCCATCACAGCTTCCACTGACAATTTGACGTGTCTCGCTCTTCGCCCTCTCTGGGCGGCCATGTTCCTCGCACTTTCCTTTCCAGAGATGCAAGGACACTTCGCGGCGGATTCGCGAAAGTCTATTCGCCGAAATTTGATTCTCGCCAAGCAGGGAGACGGTAGCCAGCCTGGCGCTCTGTATGGACCGCGCTTGCTCTGGCTTTGCGCCTCCTCATGGCTCGCAACGGCCGCCATCCCCTTAACGAATTCCTTGGTTAAGTCCGACGAACTGAAGTAGAGCAAGATTCCTTACTCTACTAGTCGACATCCAAGTTTTGCCGCTGAACCCCGACAGCCAACGAGTTATTACAGGGGATGCCTGGTGCGATAGCATGGCCTCATCCCCCCTACCGACCACCCGTCCAGCCGCTGCGCTATAAGATGACAGCCTTCCTCTGCGCTCCGAAAGCCTTGTGTGCCCTGCTCTCCCTTCGTTGCCCGGAAGCCCTTTCGTCCAGCCCAGTCGCTCGTTATTATTGACACCCTCACTCTCGTTAAACCCAGTCACTCGTTCAAATCACTCACACTCGTTTACCTCGAAAATACACTGCGCGCGACGATAACCGCCTCCGAAACAACCTCGAGCAATCGCGAAGAAATCGGCAAACATGTCCGACTTCTCCCTCTTCAGCCTCTTCACCGCGGGCCTCGCTTGCATGATCCCGCTCACTGCCGCCTACACTAAGCCAGTGGGCGATCAGCCAAAGGTACGAGAAAAGCGCAGCGCAGATTGCTCGAGATGGAAACCTTGTGCGACGCGCCTCCTTGCGCGCGAGCACCATCTGGTGTGTTGTACGTGACAGCTGACAATCCTGATGTTTCAGGGCAACCCAATCTCCCAGCCAGGCCTCAACTCAGTTGTGCCAGTCGGTAAGCCCTTCACCATCACCTGGCAGCCAACCACTCCGGGAACTGTCACTCTGGTCCTCCTCAAGGGCCCGAGCTCGAACGCTGTGCCACAGTATCCAATCGTCGAGAAGACCGAGAATAATGGCAGCTACGTCTGGACTCCAAAGGATGACCTGGAGCCAACCGACAACGCTCAAGGATACGGCATTCAGCTGATCGACGACGCCACCGGTCAATACCAGTACACTACCCAGTTCGGCATCTCCAACCCAGATTACAAGAAGCCAGTGAGCAGCAGCAGCAGCAGCAGCAGCAGCCAGTCCAAGACCCCAACTGCCCCAACTTCTTCCAGCTACAACTCCAAGGCACCATACCCAACGGAGACTCCTCTCGTCGTTACTGCCTACACAACCTACTGCCCAGAGAAGACGACTCTCACCTGGGCCAACTACACTTACACCACCTCTGGAACGATCACCCTCCCATGCCCAGGTGGTTGCACTGTCACTGCTCCATACTCTGCTCCAAAGGGCACTGGCGTTCCCAGCTACCCCCAGAACATCACCATGGTCGCCCCCACTGGCTCCGTTCCATCTACACTCTCGACTGCTTCGGCCACTTCTCCAATTGCCAGCGCTACCTACCAGGGCCCGCCAGCAGCTTCCACCGGTGGTGCCTCCAGCCTGGCGATGAGCTTCTTCGGTGTCGTCGCTGCGGGTGGTGCTGCTGTCCTCGCTATCTAAGTGGATCACAACTAGAGTCAGAAAGTGTGGCTGTGAGGAACTGTATACATTGGACCCGGCGCGGCATTTGCGTTTCCTTGTAACGAAGAATTGTGGTTATGGCAGATAGCCTGCTGAAATGTGTACTTTACTCTGGCTCGCGCAGTCGACGCGAAATGACATCTGTAATGTGCTGCCATACATCTCAATCTTGCAGCGCGTCACTCCGAGACGCGAATCAATAGAACTCTGGGATGTGAAGATGGGCAGCGCCAAGTCAAGGTGGATAAGCGCTACTGATTTTAGGACGAACGCCAAGCGTGGAGGTACGGCATCCTTCCAATCCTTCCAATAAGTATCTTCTGCGCTTCGCTTCAATTACACCGTATATTCACAGGTAATGCATTCATAAAACAGGACGCACACATTGTGCTCCCAGCACAAGTCATGGCGAAATCGACAGAGTCACTATCAGCAACAATCCTTACTTGACTAGCCTCAGCTTTCAACCTATCAATGTCACAGGCTCTTCGACAGATGGTGCAAGCAGCCAGTCTATTGAGGTTGAGCTACCTCGTGCAGTATGTCGTCCCCCAGAAAAGACCTCGCATTGCTGTAGCGGCGACGAAGTGCTTGAAAGCCATGAGTAAAGAGAGCAGCAGTGTCTCAAATGTGCGCGCTCTGGGTGAGAGTGCTGAGACAGTACTGCTGCCGCCACACAGTTGCCTTAGCCGTTCTTGTTCGTCCGCAGTGATGCTCAACGTCTACTGCAATCATTCTTCCTACAGAGCTCTTGCTGACCATGCTTCTTCTTCGCCAGACATGCTCAAAATATCACCCCACGAAATTGCTGGTCAATTTCGATTCCTTCACTGCAACGGGTGAATGGCTCCCTTGCTCGAATTTCGAACGGCATGAGCAGTTCAATGGCGCACCGCTAGTGGAGCTCCAAGGCTCGTTCGAGGATATAACTTTTCCAAATCTGCAGACAGTAAGCGGAGCAATGTCTGTAAATTCCACTGAGGGCATGTCCTGCACCCCGCTCGACGAGCTGTATCGAAGCGGCGTGGTTTACGGCAACTATACCTGTCGCACTGCAAACGATACGAAGACCTGACAACATCAGGCAGCGCAACTACAAGCCCAGACAACGCGTCTGAAGACGGCGGTAACAGCTCAAGCACTCTTAGAATTGGTCTTGGTGTTGGCTTAGGAGTGGGCCTTGGACTTCTGCTTGCTTTGGGAATCCTTTTCTTCTGGGTTCGACAACGGAAGCAGCGTCGTAGTAGTAAAGCATCTTCTGATAATGCTCCTATTGCTGAGAAGGATGGCTCCGAAGTAGATCGAGCCAATATGCTGGATGCTAGCTCAACGCAGAAACATGAACTGGAACAGCCAACGGGCGAGCTTGGCAACGGTTACGATGCCCAGGAGCTTCCAGCAAAGCTCGAGACTGAAGTTGAACTAGCACGCACTGGATCGACCAAGGCGCTTGCAGGAGTCGAGTCCAGACATGAAATGCCCGCAAGCGAGACGCCGCCGGTAACTGAGCAGAAAGATCCGGTTGATGATCATCAGATTCAGAAGCGATATACATAGTTTATCGTGAACCAGGATTTCCATACCGGGCAGCCATCCTGGTTCACGGTACAAGGATAGCCATAAACAAGAGTAACCCTCGGCTCTTCTCGAAGCACGGATCATCTACACAGCATATCACGCTGCGTGGTACTCTCAGACAAAGCACTCCGCAAACTCCACATGACAATCAGACCCACCATCGTCACGCTAGGAATATGTCACCGACGTTTCTCACTCTCCCTCGCGAGCTGCGCGACCGAATCTATGACTACGTCTGGTCAGACACCAGCTCAGTCTGGCTCAGATACGCGAGTTTCAAAGATGAGCTCTGTTTCGAAGCTCACGATCTTCGTTTTCCGGAGCAAGTGGTCAAACGCTATCCTCCTCCAGGCTACACGGCACCAGAGCCCACTGCAGCCAGGAAAGATTCGCTAGCAGACGATGTTGCATCTGCTCCAGCCGCGGCAAGCCCGGAGAAAGAAGCATGTCCGCAATCTTCCCGTCGCGACAACAACACCATCGAATTCGATCTCGAAGCCTTCTTAGACGAATGGTCTGAGTGTGATGACGAGGACGATAGCTCAGATGAGGAAGATGAAAACGAGGCTGGGGGCAAGAACGAGCAGCAGCTGAAACGTCAGTTCAACCTCGAGTCTTGGCTTCCACTTCCCACCAGTCTGTTCACCGTCAACCGACAGCTTCGCAACGAGACCTTGCAGTTCTTCTTCTCCACGCGCAACATAATTCTCGACGCCGATGGAGTGGCCTCTATTCGCTTTCTCTGGCAACTCCCGACGATCGTTCGCGAAGCCATCACAACAATCTCACTTGGCAGTTTCGCATTGCAGACTGACGACAAGTACAGCAGCGCAGCCTGGTTCGGGGTTGCCGAAGAGCCTGAGTACCGAGACGCTTCTGGCCTCACACTGATCACACCTTTCGCCGCCTTCCTCGCCTCTCACCTACCAAAACTCAATCACATCAATCTCTACCTCCCATACTCCGGCACAGAAGACTGGTACCCAACCCTCGCACCGATCGAATTATCCCTCCTCCTCAAATTCCACCGCATCAAATCCCTCAACTTCATCTTCATGGGCGAAGACGTAGTCAAAACGCTTCGAAACGGGAAACTGAGGAGTCGAGAATGTTACGAAAAATTAATGGGAGGTTTCAAAGACTGTGAGAGACTTGCGGAGCATGAGTTTGAATTGGAACATCCGGCGCCCGAGATGAGGAGTTTTGATAAGAAGTCGCATGGGAAGATGATGGAGTATGTCAAGACGAGACATGAGTATGTTGAGGGGAATCGAAGGGAGTTTCCGTGGAAGTGGGCGCGGCGGGACGTTGAGATGGGGAGTGATGGGAATGTGCAGGCTGTGGTGAGGTGTTGGGTTGAGTGATGGGGGGAAGTTGAAGGCATTACTGTGCGGCACGATGTATGTGATCACGTACTTGCAAGTATTACTGATATCCTCCTACCTTCATTAATTAAACGTTTAGCCTGTATCTTGTCATTCATACCAAGTCCCCCGGCTTATCATCAGACTTGTCATTCGGAGCACTGAGCACAGATTCCAACGTTTCGGCTGCGATGATGAGAAAGGACGCTTTCACTCAAGCCGGAACTCGTTCGCGGCTTCGATCTCGACCGATTGTTGTAAGAAAGCTGTACATGACAAGAAGAGGAGCTTTGTTGTGATCATGTCTTGGACTGTTTGGCAGATGGTGTATGCTGTCTCTATGCAATCTCGGTTGTCGTATTGCAATCTTTGCTTACAATGTCTAGGAGCTTGTAAGAGCTTCTCGTCACCGGCAAAGCCGTCAATTTATGGCGTTGCTCACATTTTCATGTGATAGCAGGGAAATGAAGATGGTTCAGTGTGAAGCATGTGAGCCAAGCGGCCTTCACTTGTTCGTCTCATAATGTCCTTATATCAATTACCACGCAAACACATCAGTCATAGCTCCCTGACTAGCATCCCCCACAAGTCTCGCATACTTCGCCAACGTCCCTCTCGTCACCGGCATACGAGGAGGTTTCCAAGCCGCAAGTCTAGCTTTGATCTCAGCATCATCTACATCCATCGTAATCTGATTCTTCTCGGCATCGATTGTAATAATATCGCCATCTTGTACCACAGCAATTGGCCCGCCAACAGCCGCCTCAGGAGAGATATGTCCGACGATGAAACCATGCGATGCACCAGAATATCGTCCATCAGTGATGAGGCTCACGTTCTTTAGTCCGGCTCCCATAATGGCAGCGCTGGCTTTTAGCTGTTCGGGCATACCCGGTCCACCTTTGGGACCTTCGTAGCGGACGACGAGGACGAGATTCTCTCCATGAGGAATTTGGCCCTTGTTCAGGGCTTCGTTCAGTTCGAATTCCTTATTGAAGACGCGGGCTTTGCCTGTGAACTTCATGCCTTCCTTTCCTGTGATCTTGGCGACGGCGCCGTTAGGCGCGAGGTTGCCGTACAGAATCTCGAGATGGCCGGTTGCTTTGATCGGCTTGTCAATGGGTTTGATCATTTCTTGGCCTTGTTGAAGTGACGGCCAGGATTCGACATTCTCCGCCAACGTCTTGCCGGTCACCGTAATTGTCGATCCGTCGAGGAAGCCAGCTGCGATGAGAAGTTTTTGGACCGAAGGGATACCGCCGATATTGAAAAGGTCGACCATGAGATATTTGCCGGAGGGTGCGATGTCTGCGATGAAGGGAACCTTGTTTGATATTCTTTGAAAATCGTCGAGCGTGAGCTCCACCTCTGCTGTGCCTGCCATGGCAAGGAGATGCAGCACACCGTTTGTCGATCCACCCAGAGCCATCATCATGACCATGGCGTTCTCAAACGCTTTCTTAGTCAGACAGTCGCGAGGCTTGATGTCCTTTTCCATACAGATCTTGATTGCCTCGGCAACTTTGTGGCATTCACGCATCTTCTGCGGAGATGTGGCAGGTGTGGAACTGCTCCCTGGCAGTGAGAGTCCCAGCGTCTCGATCATAGTAGCCATTGTATTTGCAGTATACATTCCACCGCAAGCTCCTGGTGATGGACATGCGTGCTTCTCGATATCCGTGAGTAGCTCGTCCTTGGTCTGTGATGGATCGTTAGGATTTTGAAGGCTGTCATAGATGTATGCACCATGTGCTTCAAGAGCAGTTGCGATGTTGATCGTTTTTTGCTGCAGCGGGCTGTATCCTGGAACCATCGAGCCGCCGTAGATCATGATCGAAGGTCGGTTATGTCTCGCCATGCCCATGACAACACCAGGCATGTTCTTGTCACATCCAGGTATCGCAATACATGCATCGTGATGTTGTGCGCAGGTGACAGTCTCCACACTGTCTGCGATGATTTCTCGCGATTGCAGACTGAATCGCATGCCTTCGCCACCCATTGTGATGCCATCGCTGACGCCGATGGTATTGTATTGCCAAGCCAACATGTCTTGCTTTTCAATTGCCTTCTTCACCTCTTTGCCAATATCGAGCAGGTGTGTATTGCAAGGGTTACCTTCCCACCATACCGACGCAATGCCAACTTGCGGATAGGTTTTGAGCACATGTTCGTTGGGCACGCCAGCAGCGTACAACATTGCTTGAGCCGCTGGAAAGTCATGTTCGCGAGTAATCGTCGAGGAGAATTTGTTCAGTTTAGAGCCAGGTTGCGAGTGCTTGAAGGTCAAATAGCGTGCCTCTTCCGGCTTTGGCGGTTTGCCAGCGAGCTGCTCGTCACGATTCTCCTTCTCCATTGTGATTGATCTCGTCAATGGCTTTTTGACGAAGAGAAATGAAGGAAACTCCTATGAAGCCTCAATGCGGGAAGTCAGCACGTCAACGAATAATACGAAAGGCATTATGCGTCAGTGGAAGAGCTCTCCACTGTAACGAGGTCCCCGCAAGCAGGGCAGAATGGGCCGAGACGCGGATCGTGGAGCTGGAGCTGCGAGACCGGATGTTGCTGCTCGAGGCAGGTATAGCGAAAAACAATCTGGGTATCATAAGACCATGATAGAATACATCTTGGTGCCCGTTTGCACTGCAGGAGATGGAGATGGGGATGGGGCGCCATTTGTGAGCGTCGCTGGAAAATCCAACAGCACAGCACAGCCTGCATCTCACAAGGCGTTACGAGCTTACTTGGACCATTCTCCAGCACTGCTCCCAACGTTATCCCCAGCCTGTGTATTGCCGTCCGGCTTCTTGGAGCCTTGGTCGTTCGCTGGCGCAGGCGGTGGAGGCGCGTCTGCATCTTCTTCATCCTCATCTTCAAAGTGAGACGGATCGACCATTGGTGCATCCCTGTCGAGGTGCTCTGCCAGAGTGTCGTCGGCGCTCACTGAAATTCCTCTTGCTCCCCAGCGGTTTCCACTGCTGGGTCTCCCCGCATTCGATGGTCTCACAGTTCCATTTTCCTGATTTGCAAGCGCTTCATCTTCTTCGGCGATATCATCTTCATCCGTGCTATTTTGGCTGTTGCCCTTTCTCCCGATGAAGCGCTTCACGATAAAGCTCTTGCTCAGGTCATCGCTGTCCACCACTCCGCCGCCTCGTAGCTTGACGCGTTGGCGCGACCAGTAGACCCATGCAAAATCGATGTACAATGCTGTCTGAACGATGCCAAAAACGACGCTAGTCGGGTCGAAGTAGCCATCAGTGAAGATGCGCACAATCCAGTTTAGGATGTAGAATGCGCGATAGCTCCCGAGAGTGACGAGGTAGAAGGAGTCGAGCACAGTAGGCACGGAGGTCTGACGCAGAAGGAGTAGCTGCGGAAGGACGCATACGGACTCGAGGATGATGCTGAATGTCCACAAGACCTAGAAAGAGATCATATCATCAGCTCCAACACTTCTCCATATTTTACTACAGACGGGATTCCGCGTCTGTCAAGAAGGCGTGCTGTCCGGGTTGCATATAGTGTTGTAGCAAGCTCCCATCGCAAAGCCATGCCAGAACTCACCTCCATGACTGATGTCTTCTTCCAGCCTTCAAACAGAAGGCATACCGGCACCGCAGCCACTGTACTGCCTGCAAGACACCAAATAGCGAGCTTCCACCCGTATTCCTTTTCCCTTGTCCTAGCAAACACACGCATCATCAGGAAGACGATGTATGCAGAGCTGGTGACATAGAATATCTTAAGGACAAAGTTCCACCAGCTGAACCATGGCGCGACCCAGAACAGGTCGAGGTATCGAGTGAGGAAGACGAGGATGTAGAGTAATTGTGTCAATAGCGACACGCCTTCGGCGGACTTGTTGGAGTGCATGGCCCAGATGAGGATGCATTTCGAGGCGGTATGGGAGAGATCGCCAAGAATGCGGAAGATGTTCATGTGAAAGGACGACATGTTGGACGAGGAGGTGAATGTAGCATCGGACAATATGCCGATGCCGTGATGGTGGTGATGGTGTAATGATATGTATGGGAGGGAGTACAGGTGTTACTCCGGACCCCAGTAGTGATGTTGGAGCCGCGCGGATGCATGCAAGGGTCTAAGCCAAGATGGTTCATCTCCTTCATCAGCAAGAACTACCTTACACTCCTCACCATACCATAACGTATTGGCCAGGAGCTTCCTTCTACGAGAAAGTGGCAGTCTATCAGTCGTGAAAATCGAACAGCTCCTTCGCCATGCAATACCTATGTCGCAAAAATGTAACGAGATACAGTCTGCATCACCTAATCCTCGCTGCGTTACATCAAGCTCGAATAAGGGCTACTTGGGACCTGAAGAAGAAATGACACGATGGGACTAAGGAAGGAAAGAGGGTGGTTCGGTTGGGTTGTACTCATAATTCGTATTCGTCGTATCCTACACTATGGTACAGTCAAGCATTACGAAGCTTTCTCTAGGTATCGTCTTCTCCTTTCACTCTCTGTCGTGTACGCATTATCCTCACAAACAATACTCTTCGAACATTTCTCTTGGTCATGGCGTCTGCATTACATCCCTCCTCGTACGTCTCCAGTTCCCGCTGGCTGTGCGCTTGCACTCACAAAATGCGTCCTTGAGCAGCGTGCTAGGCCCGTCTTTGAACGCGACGCCAACAGCAATGGCTAATGTCATGCTAAACTTCAGCCATAGCCAGGGTGAATGCTTATATCGATTCGCATGGTGCGCACAGCGCTTAGCTCGGCCGGAAATACTCTTAGATATGCTGGCTGTGCGCTTCTTTCCCTTACCTGAGATTAAGCTACGATGACGGAAGCTCGCGTTGACTGGTGAGGAGGTTGGCGGAGTCTGGTATGGCGAGCCAAACGCCATGTCTGATAATTCGGCCGACGAAGAGTCGTCGAGAAGGCTTTGCTCAGACTCCGCCTCACGACAACATGCAGGCTTGGCAAGCAGTCTCTTCTTAGCCATCGGCCCTAGCAGCACGCCCACAAGCCACCATTGAATATTAAGTAGAGGCCTGGGTATCCACATTCGTCTCTGAGCCGCCTCGATCAGGTGCTTAGCCAATGCGACAGGAGAGTCAAACATGTCTCCAAAGAAGTGCCGAAGAGAGTCCAATGTTGAAAGTGAGCCAATGGAGTGCACGCCTAAAGAATTACTACTGGCGCGACTCAGTAATTTGGAGGGTGGTCCGGTATTTGACGCAGTGGCGACAGCCGTCGATGAGCCCGATACGAATCGTGATGGGGTGGCATGCGTGCCATCGTTGGCAGATAATGCCGTGTGGTCTTGTGGTCCCTCCTCTGCGCCCGATACAAATGGACTTGAGTGTAGCACAGTCTTTGCATCTTCGCTGGAATCTCCCACGGGCGACGATGTGGATTGTTCGAAGCCCGACGAGGCATTCCGCACGGCAGTAAGTTCTTCCATGAGATTTCTGCCAACTGCAGCGCCTACTGCCGAGCCTAATGAATCGAAATTGCGAGTTGTCGCGTTGGATCCGCCAGATACCGGATACATGTCGAGAGTGCCATCAAGAAGGGCATCGTCATCGAAGAAATCTTCCTCGATTGGTACCTGCACTTCGTGAGGCGAGTTCACTTCTTGGGTCGTGGTCTGGAAAGCAGCACCGTCTAGGACCTGCGCATCAAGCACGCTTTGAAAGTCTGGAAAAGGTGAGCTGCCAAGTCTCGGTCCATTCATCTCGCTAGAAGACCGACGTCGGCTGTATGGCGAAGTGCTGCGGCTTCGCGGGGAGTACGACGAAGACCAATTTCGTGAGGAGAAGGGATTCTCATCATTGTCGAGAGCTGAGGCAGATGCGGGAATCTGCTCGCGGTGGGAAGTAGACGGCAGAATCAAAGGTTTCGGTCCTATGCTACCAGCACCGAATCGCCTCATTCGGCGCGTAGGCTTCTTTTGCTGGATGGATGCACTGGCGGTGGCTGAAGAAGCAGATGCCTCCGTAATCTTCGACCCCTCGTCTGAGGACGCGACATCTGGAGAGAAGCTTAGATTTATGGGCGAGACTGGTACTCCTGGACTAAACCTGGTCAAAGACGGCGAGGGTGAAGGTGGCCGTGTCTGTGACGGTCGCTCTGGAGACATCAGAAATCCTGCTGTTGGGAAGCGTGGTTGTACCATGGACTGTGGTCGGGGCGGTCTCGGCCTACCTGGTACTTGTGCATGAAGATCGATCTTCGTTGGCGAGGCTGCAAGTAGTTCGGACATGATTTCGAGCCTCTTCTCGAGGTTCACATTTGCCGCTTCAACAGAATCCCGACCGTCTCTCGCTGACTGTAGTTGGATTTCGAGCTCGTGCACACGATACGCTCTCTCCTCTACCTCGTCCTCCAACAGCCGTACTTTTGCTTCCAAGGCGTCTTCAGCATCTTTAGATGCCTGCAATCTTTCTTGGACGCGCTCGTCAAACTCGGCCTCCCAATTGGCGACATCTTCAGATAGTCGGTTATTTTCTGCCTTCAAATGACGCATTGCAGCACTCTGCTCGCGGGTGACAGTTGGCGAGGTGGCGGCTTGCAATTGCGCCTGCGCCGACTGCAGTTCCAATTCCAGATGATCAACATACTTCCTTTTCTCGGCACTTAATGAGCGGCGAAATGACATGGGTGTGCGTTTCGTGCGAACAGTGCGAATCGGTTTCGGGACAGCACTTGACAGTTCCGGTGACAGATCCAATATCCCGCCAAAAGCCGAATCGTGCTTGCTGCTGTCGGGACTATCGAAGCTGCCAGAAGTCACGCGAGGACAAACACGTTTCTTCTGCCTGATAGTGCCAGTGCCGGTGCGAGTGCCAGCGCTATTCCCAATCTCTTGCAAGATACCACTAGACACGCGTTTGCTGCGGGAGTCTGCAGACCTCCTTCCAGAAGGCGAGACATTTTCGGCATCAGAGGACTGCTGTGTGCCAAGCATTGAGCAGGAGGAAGTCGTGGAGCATGTCGTCGATGTGGAAGTGACGGCTTTGGGTGTCACCTTCCTGGTGGGCACCGCAGCAGCACGGAAGCCCGCATTGCGTAGCTGCAGTCGACGCGTGCGTTGCGATCCAGATCCAATCGTTCCAGACCCACTGCCCGACCTTCGACGCGAAGCTGGACTTTCGTGATCGCGTATTCGATGCTCGGGAAAGGCTGCGTGCAGCGGAGAAGGCGCCATGGGATGTGTTGCACAAATATCGCGTATCGAGGTGTGTTTGCATATGGGAAGCTGTTCAGGTGTATGCCATGACGGAGTAACGAAGGAAAAGTCGACGATCAGCCGGTTGCTAAGGGCCCCTTTAGCTTAGGTAGAGACGGTGGTCACACCTTCTGGCCGCTTTTTTGAGGCCGTCTTTTTCTGGTAGGAGCACAGGATGCTTGCGCGATGGGCTGGGTTGGCTGTGGTAATTTGATGCTTGAGCTTGATCCGAGGCCCATGACTGCCGGGACTACCTTTGTTGACGTTAAACTCATTTGGGGCTGACTTAAGCTTCTTTAGGCTTTGACCCTAGCAACGGCCATCCGAGCCGAGGCAGGCGAAGCAAGGGCGTTTCTTTCGGGCACTCAGAAATCCTGACCACCAAAATCGCCGAGCTGACCACCGAATTGACCAATCGGATGAAGCCGTGGTGGTCCGTGCGCAGGTCAGTGCGCGCGCTCGGCTTAAACAAGCTCGACTTTCCGAAAGCAACCCTCATTCCTTTCCCCTACTATAGCAGCTTCTACTAGCGTTAGTCTATTTAGAATCTAATCTTAACCTATTCTAACTCGATTTACTAATCTATTTAAACTCGATTCTACTATAGCCCTATCTTAGAAGCTTATTAATAACAAGGACTACCTCGTATATATCGATACGGCGGGCAAGAATATAAAACTATTAGTAAGTCCTTTTATTATTCTATTACTATTTATTTCTAATTGCTTTTAGGGCTTTAATATATTTAAGTTAGTTATAGACGAAAATACCTTCTTAGACGACAACTAAATTCTAGTGCTAGGCGAGGTAATCTATCGCGTTACCGCTAGTAAGGATAACGATATATGTTTAGTAAGTTTTTTCTAATCTAAATGCATTAGCAATAGTATCTAATTGGTTTTAGTATAAGCTATTCTAAGACTCCTCCGCCCTTCTCGCCTATATGCGTATAAATACCGACAAAGGTAGACATAGTCTTATATTCGAGAAGAGTAAAGGTTAAGGTAGATAGGAGGCGAAGAAAAAGGCTAAGGGTATATAATACTAATCGGAATAGTTTCGGAAACGTTTAAATATAGGCTAATTCTATTTAGAATAGTATCGTAAGGTAGCTATCGCTACTAACAACGCCTATATTAATAATACTAAGAAGGCGGTAAGTGCGCTAAAGCCGAAGACGCTAAAGAAGGCTGCTAACACTACCCTAAAGAAGGCAGACAGGATCGGTATATTATTAGTTTTAGAATAGTTTAAGAAAAAGTACTAATAGTTTCTTATTCGTTTTAGAAAAGCCTACTACCCTACGTAGCTTACGCTCGTCTAAGAGGAGCAAGGCTAAGGCTAAGTTCGCGGCTAACCTTAACGATATTATTTCAGGTAGGGAGACCTTATAAGTAGGGTTTTTTTAGTATAGTTAGCGTAGCGTTAGGGTTGGGAGATACCCTTCTAATACTAATAAGAAAGCAATAAGTACTATTAAACCATTCTTAAACTAATAAGAATCTAATAATAGTTCTTATACTTTCTTAATAATTTCAGATTTAAATGATTTTTTACTAACTTTTCTTAGGGACGGTAAGGCTAAAGGATCTCGGTTAGTAAAAGCAACGGGTTATAATACTAAGTCTTTAAATGCCTCTGTTTCTATACTTAATTTAGTACTAATAAATTATAGGTCTAATCGAGATAAAATAGCTATATCTTCGAAAAATCCGAAACCTCGAGAAAGAACCTCGTCGATAAGTACTAACGATAGCGACGCTAACGAGGACAACGACAAAACGGAATAGGAAGGACTAAGTCCTATAGCGGTACGGCCTAAGAGTCCTATCGCTATCCGGAAATCGAGTTCGATAAAAAGGTTTGTAATTAGAATACGAATCCATTTAACCTACGACGGTAGAAATATACCTAAAAAAAATTAACCTTACTTATAGGACTACTCCGGACGACAAGGATAAAACTAAAGAGTCGCGACGGCGGTAAGTAATAATCTTCGTTTTATCCTATCTATCGTCGACTTCCTATTAATATTTCTAGTATTTCTAAATTGTATAAATTAGCGCCGATAGTAATTTCTTCGGGTAAGTCGGAGGGCTCGGTCTATAATCTAGAGGAAGAAAATCCCCTCGGGGACCTCGAAAAGCTCGCGGCATCCGCTTCTAAATAGAATGCTATAAATGCCCCGTCGGCGCCTTCTCGCAATCTAAAACTAATAACATCCGTTTCGGATTCTAATATTAAGTAAGAGCCTAGTACCGAACCCCCCTCGGCTTAGCCTTCGAAAACGCCTACGCCCGAGCCTTCGATTAATCCGCCTATTACGCCTACGCTACTAGTCTAGCTAGCCCCTTCGACTAAGCTAGTACTAGCTTAGTAGCCCTTATATCCTCGATAGGGGTTTCCCGATCTATAGCCTCTTACTTATAGTTCTATTCGAGTGCCTAGATATAAGCGAGGAAACGCGGTAAGTCTACTCTTATTTAGATCTTAAACGATTACTAGTCTATTCTTATTCTATTTAGATCAATTTCGGGAGCGCTATCGGTCTTCTACGTTAGTAAGGATAGCTCGATCGTTGTCCGACCTGTTTACGAAATAGACAGACCTAAGACCTCTTCCGTAGCTATAAATACTGAGTATTATTCTAAGATCTCGCGGACGAGAGCTTAAGGGCTCTTAGAGCGGTAACGAAGGAATAATAATAGGATAGGAATAGGATAGGAATAGGATAGGAATAAGATAAGAATAGAATACGAATAGAATAGCGGAGGAGTTCCCTAGCGGGTTAAGAATTTCGTAGAAGGGAATACTAGTATAGAGGTAGTTATAATCATTTTTGCATTACAGTCTAAATCCTTTCTTATACTAATCTTAATTCAATTATAAACCTTTCTCCCTTATCTGTTCCTTTAGTGCTATTTCCTCGCGAAGGAGATTAAGTATCTCTCGTTTCGCCTTGTTCTACTATTCTAGAAGCTTAACGTCGATCGGCGGTATATCGTCGCTAGTTACCGGTTTACTCGGTAGTAACGGCGTACTAGTTGCTTTACGTAAGGCTAGACTTTCCTTCGCTCGTAACGATAGCGCCGAACGACGCCGCTTTAGTATCTAAGTACTACTTAGTTCTTCGGCGACGATTGCGTCCTTATTAAATTCTCGTTCCGTTCTCTTTTCTATCGCATCCCGTTTACGACGGCGGCTCTCTAGATACGGAAGTTAATACTATTCCGATACTATTCTAATAAGGATTACTTTACTATATCGCTATTTACTCTTCGTTGCTAGCGAGTATACGGAGTAAGCCCGCTATATTAAACGAACGCTATAGGACTTAATGTTTTTTATAGACGTTAGAGTCTTTCGATCTAAGATAGTAGCGCTATTTTAATGTTATTGCTTTGCGAAACCAATTAGAAAACCTTTAGAAAGCTTTAATATACGCATTAATCGTAGGTAGAATTTCCCGATGCTTTCTAGTATAGTACCCCTATTTCCCGGCTAACTCGATTGCATTAGTATAGTATCTAATTGTCCGCTAAGTTGCCTTAGGAATATTCGAGAAGGCGGGTGCTAGGCTATAGCGGATATAGTAATAGAGCTTATGCCTAGCCTACCTTGCTACTTTCTCGTTTAAATAACCTAGTAATAGGATTTATTTAGGATTCTAATCTAAAAGCTTTCTTACTTACCTACTAAAGCTTTGACTTCCTTTATATAAGCCTCTTTTAATTTCAATCTACGGATACTATCTATCCGAGCGAAAAGGATCGATCGATCGTATAGGCTCTTATTCTAAATAGCCTTATTAATGTTCCTCCGCTAATAGATTACGCAATAGAGGATAATATATTCGAGTTGCACCCTCTAATTGCGGTTTTAATAGTCAATTTCTTAAAGATAAAGTCCTAAGCCTATAAGAAGCGTTTGTTATTATAATATTATCGTAATAAGATTGAGATAAGAATGCTTTCTTATACTTTTAGCCTGCTTTAAGTTTAGGTCGGTTACGACCGCTCGAATTCCTTTACCGTAGATATAGTAAAAGGTTACTGCGGTTCTAGTAACCTTACGCATCCTTCCGAAGACTCGCGTAAAGAAGTTCTAGTATATTAACTCGGATTCTCTACGGACGTAGGCTCGGGCGAAGACAAGGACTAAGAATGGATTTAGAATAGAATAACATTAGTATACTATCGGAATGCGAATTACTTACGAATAGTTCTCTCTTTATCCTATCGTCCGAGAATTACTTCGTTTATATTCTTTTCCTTAATGCGTTAGAACGATATATCGACCTCGAAGGTATCGAAGGAAAGGAATAGAGACGCCTACTCTACGAAGAATGTAATAGTTATATACTCTTGTTCTGTCTACTATATACCCTAAATGTATTGCTAAATAGAATATTAGTAGATTCGGAATGTATTAAGAAAGGAATATAAATCAAATAGGAATCGACTTTCTTACTGTTTCGGGGTTCTTCCGCTCGATATTATACTTAAATTAGACTCCATTTATCGTCGTTCCGTCTAGGTAGTAAATAAGCTTTTGTCGTCGGATTTCCCGTCTAATATTATTAGTATTCTCTAGACTAAGATAAATTTCGCTAAGGGCGTAAACCCCTTTATCTCGGAGGTACTGCTATAGGGCGAACGTCTAAAGGAAGACAGCTTATCCCGTTCTAATTAGTTTCTTAACCGTTTAGTATACGATTCTTATTTGCTTAATATATATAGTGTTATCGTTACTAATAGCGTTTAAGTAATAAGTCTCGAGATTTCATCCTTATAGGATTAAAGCGGTCGTATAGGCGGCGGCGGTAGATAACAATACTAAAAAAAGGATACGAAGATAACGTAAGGACATGCCGTAAAGTTAATAGGAACGATCTTCCTTATTTTAACTAGACAACTAATCTTCTTAAAGAAACCTAGTCTAGAGGGGAGGTGATTGTAACCTAATTGCGATGTTAATTTATTAGCAATCTAATAAGAATCTATTTACACTTACGGCATATCCTCCGTAGGCTCGTCCCTTATACGATCTCTATATACTATCGCTTTGTAATTAGAATCCTAGACTGATTGTTCACCTCTATAACTAGGCTCTATATCTATTTGTAATCGACATTCTCCGCTAGCTTAATCGCGCGGAAGCGATAATCGTATTTGTTAAGGCTAGAAGAGTCGTAGTTCGTATAGTAGATAAATCCTTCGCCTAGTATTATCCTTTTAAGCTATTTCGTTTAGCATTAGTATACGAAATGAATCGGAGTCTATTTATATCGCAATGACATTAGATTAACATTAGTATAAGATTTATTACTTATACGTAGATTGAAGAATCTAAACTTTATCTTATAAGAGTCGTACCTAAAGGCCTTATAGAATGTCCTATTTTCGAACTCTTTTCGGAGCGACTAGTAGAGCCTATCGCTATTATTCGCCTAGGAAACTATTAATATTAGAATTACATACCTCGACGCGTTCTTTCTCGCTAGATTAGGATTATCCTCGTTAAACCTTTCGAGATTCAATCTCTTTCTTATCTTCTACTATTCTTCCGGGACCTCGTAGTAATCTATAGATACTAGGTTCTTATATAACTACTAGCACTGCTTAATACCTAAGCAGTCGTACGACGTCTTAGTATACGGTATATTGCCTAAGCAACTAGATACTATTAGAATAGCCCCCTTCGTTCCTACTAAGGGAACGCTATATTATATCTACCTCTCTATTAGCTATCCTTACTAATCGTTTCTTAATCGTTTCTTAAAGCGATTAGATCGGAATAATATCGGATTGAGAATCTACTTATATCTAGCTCCGGCTTAGCACTAGTCGTAGAGTAGTCGATTACATATACGTATCTATCTTCGTAGGTCTTCGGATATTGCGGTATCGCGGTTATGTATTCGATAAAACGAGCCCTAATAGCGTCGCGGTTCGAGGTAATAACAATCCTATCCTATTACAAATAAGTTCTTATTCGTTTAATATTGCAATAGGAATGCCCTTATATATCTTATAATATCCTTAACGTCGTCGTCGATATATAGTACCGCTAATCGGCTTTTATAGTACTCCTCGTCGTACTCCTTAAATTCTAGCCTTTAGTAGTCCTTCTCGTAGGCATTATCGTCGTTAAATCCGAGCTAAGCAGTCGTAGGGGGGCTATTCTCTTCGGTAAGATCGACCTTAAATTGCTTTTAGTACCTAAAATAGATATAATCGGAATATAATCGGAATAGCATTAGAATAATATACGATTTGTAATAGAATAGGCCTTTCCCGCGGTAGGTTCTCTAAGGATAGCGGCGTTAGCATCTAGTTCTTAGTATAGGTCGGTAGAATATTTAATATCTTTGCTATTCTATAGTTTTCTTATTCGTATTTGTATTCGTAGTAAATAGTATAGGAAAGCAATAGGGAAAGGTATACCTTTCCCCGCACATTGGTATGTTATACCTTTCAGCTTAACCTCGGCTAACCCCCTGTCATTTTAGAGTTCCTGACCACCGCGGTGGTCAGCTCGGCGATTTTGGTGGTCAGACCGGCGCTGCGCTCGTTTCTTCGCACGCAACCTCCACATGGCTCGTACAACGATATTGGTGTCTCGGTACCTTCGAGGTAGTCACCATGTCTTTCCCAGGTCATACTGTAGTTTCGTGTCGAGCAGCTTGCACTAAGGCATCTTCAAACAATAGCTCAGATCAGCTCAAGCAGCAGTCTGGAAAGTGTCAGGACAGCTTCATCGAAGAACACGGCGGCTGGTCATCTCGATACTGCCATCGAGCGAACAATTGGCAGCATGACCATCGTCCCTACAAGCTCTTATTATATCAAGGCAGTAGGGCTGGTGGTTGCGGATACAATCTGAGCTGAAGGAGAACGGCACTACTCACCAATGCACTTGGCGAGATTTCATTCTCAAGCATTCACATACACATGCATAGGCTCGACCTGGCCACATCAGGACAGCACCAGCAACAATACATTGTGCGAGATCCCTGATCAGTCTCTCCGAAGGTCGTCGAGCGATGGAGGACAGAGTGCATTTTGGCAAAACGCCCAGCTCTTACCGTCAACACGCCCCAAAGCGGGACTGGCACAAGATCGCATCGCCGGCAGAATTGAGCAACCACCGTTGCACATGACTTCTTTACGCCAAACAACACATGCGAAACTTCACACTTAACGCAGTCGTAGACTCCTAGTAGTCACGAGCCGAATGGTCGACGCGTCATACCTGTTCGGGCAGCCTCCTCCATGCAACCCCGCGATAGCCTTGTCGCCCTGTGAAGCTTCATGATATTCTCTTCATCAACTATTGCAGAGCTCGGTGGTCGTCCGTCCGACGTACGCCATAGACCGATGCTACACCCCGCCAGTCAATGCAACTGCTGCTATGGCAAAAGTTGCCAAAGATGGACGTCTTCTCGCTGGCTAAGATAAGATATCTGTATTCCACACTCTGCCTTCCGTCTTAATCAGTATGCACTATACAGATTGACCAATCATGATCATCCTACAAACTCTCAGTGTCTTCCTGGCAGCCGCATCAGTGGCCGCAGGTCAAGAAACATCTCAATTAGACTATCCGGGCACGGCATGGGTTACCGCCGAGTATTCCACGAGCCCAGAAACCCTCCCTTCTCCCCAAACCACAGGCACAGCATGGGAGACCTCCTTCCAGCAAGCCTCATATTTCGTCTCTAACATGACTCTCGAAGAAAAAATCCAAATCATAACCGGCACCTCTGGTCCATGCGTCGGCAACATCGCTCCAATCACGAGACTCAACTTCGGCGGCCTCTGCCTTCAAGATGGACCTCTCGCCATTCGAAAAGCTGACTACGCCAGCGTCTTCCCAGCCGGTGTCACAGTCGCCGCATCCTGGGATCGAAAGCTCGCACGTAAACGTGGTCAGGAGCTTGGCGAGAAGTTCAGAGGCAAAGGCGCGCATGTGATTCTTGGACCTGTAGCTGGACCGCTAGGTCGATCGAGTCGTGGAGGCAGAAACTGGGAAGGATTACCATAATCTTTCAGTGCAGTATGAATTCGGCTTTGGCTTGTAAGTAGTCCTGCTCTTATGCCTGTAATCATAGAGCTGACAGATCATACACCAACTTCTCAGTCGGCAACCTGAAGATCAAGCGTCTCGGATCAGGCAGTATTCCGGCCATCCCTCCCGATTCGAAGACTATGCCAGGCGGAAACCCAGAGCTTTGGAACCTCGTGTATGAAATTAAAGCCACAGTTACGAATACCGGCCAAGTGCTCGGCGATGCAGTTCCTCAGCTATATCTCGGCTTGCCCCAGCCTGATGACGGTGATCCCTCACCGGTCAAGGTCTTACGGGGCTTTCAAAAGGTCAAATGGGTCCTGGACAGGTGAAGGAAGTCACATATGAGCTGATCAGGAGAGATCTCAGTTATTGGGATGTACTGGCGCAGCAATGGATGATTGCACCGGGTGAGATCAAGGTTATGGTCGGGTTGAGTAGTCGCGATATTCAAGCTACTGTGTCTTTCGAGCCGCTGAAGGAGTAAAACTTTCGTGGGAGATGGGTGGCAGACATGCGTTACATAGTTGAATCAGACTGAATTATTGACGTCGTAACCCGCATCCCAGCCATTTGTCAGTCTTTCTGTGGCTCGGTTCCGAGTGTCTCGGGAACCCCGAGTGTCTCGGCTGTGGTGATGTTTTTGCACACATGCAAGGTGCTCGAAAATCGTGAATCGCTGAGATCATGGGAGGTGGTCGGAGGCGAATATGCGGAGCGTAGTCGGATCGGACTGTATCATCGGTATTGCAGATGTCGCCTCGGGTGTTTCTACAGCCTTTGTGGTACTCGTTCGGGGCTCTTTTAAAGGCGGTGATGTTGTTGCAGAGTTCGTAGTGGCTCAGAGCCCATAAAGGAGCAATGTCAGCGTTCCTGTAACTCGCCTGAGAGTGTTCATTGGTTCCGGTGATGTTGTTGTACAGATCCCCGTGGCGCGGTAGCAAGGAGAGTTTCCGGGCAAATGGCCTCGACCTCAAATGCTGCTTCCGCGCTCATCAACAGCCGCCAAGAGCGCCTTCCGACACTGGCCATGGCTGTACCGTAGCTCCTCTTCGAGATGCACAAATTGCCCGGGACGATGCCGTCCGCTCATCTCTCATCAGTGGCACGAGACAGCCGGACGCGCTGCCCGCATACACCACCACGGCCTGACGTCGGGGCCCTTCGACACGAGGCACAGCTTCACCCATTTCCCGGCATTGTCTCCACACACTCCACCACCACGCCTAACGATGATGGCCCACGGGCAGCGAGGATAGGCGAATCAGTGGATGCCGCCATTGGACATGGCATTGTCTTGGTCATGGCATTGCATTGCGAAAGCTCTGGCAAAATGTTTGGGAACATAAACAGTAGAGGTCTGGCCGGGGCACAGTTTTGCTCTGCTTCGTGCAAGACTTCGCCAGCCAAAACACCATGAAGCTGTCCCCCGCCAAAGCAGGAGTCCTGCTCTCTCTGGCAGCTCTCGCTGAATGCCTGAGCTACACTAATGTCTCTGAAGTGCCACTGTATGGGCAGAGTCCACCAGTGTATCCGACGCGTGAGTGCAATCCATACGTAGAAACAGCAGGCACCATGCTCATACGTACTTCCAGCGGAGGGCTATGGCGGAACGGACGCAAATTGGCTAGCAGCCTATGCGAAGGCCAAAGCCCTGGTGGATCAGATGTCCTTGATCGAGAAGGTCAATATGACAAGAGGACATACCGGGCTTTGTGTCGGCAACACCTTCAACATCAGCAGACTCGGGATAAGCTCGATGTGCTTAGCAGATGCTCCAGACGGCATCAGAGGACAAGAATTCGTGTCAGCCTTTCCAGCCCAACTAACCGTGGGAGCTACCTTCGACAAGGACCTTATGTATGAGTACGGAAAAGCTTTGGGGGAAGAATACCGCGGCAAAGGCATCCATGTCGCTCTCCTCCCGGTCGCCGGCCCTCTTGGCAGAGTAGCAAGAGGTGGCCGAAATTGGGAAGGATTTGGAGCAGACCCATTCCTCTCCTCGGTCGGCATGCGTGAGGTTGTCGTAGGTCTTCAGGGCACCGGCGTCGTCTCACAGATGAAGCACTGGCTTTTGAACGAGCAGGAGTGGAGACGCAATCCTGGATCTATGGGTGAATCCATCTCTACGAACGCCGATGACCGCTCAATCCATGAGCTCTATGCTTTTCCATTCATGGCCGCTGTACAGGCTGGAGCAGCGTCGGCTATGTGCTCGTATCAGAGAGTCAACAACAGCTATGGCTGCCAGAACTCTAAGCTCCTCAACGGCATACTGAAGGGCGAGCTGAATTTCCAAGGATTCGTTACTTCTGACTGGGGAGCCAACCATGCTGGAGTTGCTGCAGCCAATGCTGGGCTTGATCTTATCATGCCAGACGGTGGATACTGGGGCAATAATTTGACTGAGGCCATCAACAATGGCTCCGTCTCTGAAAGTCGCTTGGACGACATGGTGACTCGCATCCTCGCTGCGTGGTATCATCTTGGCCAAGACGAAGGGTATCCAGATGTTGGCGTGTATAACTACAACCAAGAGCATCCCATCATTGATGTGCGAGGTAACCACGCAGCCTTGATCCGTGAGATCGGAGCTGCGGGAACGGTGCTTGTCAAGAATGTCGACGGCGCCTTGCCACTCAAGAAGCCAAGGTTCCTTAATATTTATGGATATGATGCCAAGCTGCCAGACTCCCCATGGACCACGCCCGCTCGTTTTGGTGGCGGATATGATGTCAACTTTGGGTGGAATACCTTCAATGGTACGCTCATTACTGGCGGAGGCAGCGGCTCCAACGCTCCTTCATATGTGATCAGCCCGTTCGACGCGATTCAGAGGAGGGTCGTTGCCGACAGAGGTACGGTTCGGTGGGACTTTGCCGCTGTCAACCCGACTGTGTATGCCAACGCCGATGCGTGCTTGGTGTTCATCAACGCATATGCAAGCGAGTCGTTCGACCGGAAGTCGTTGAAGGACGAGTTCAGCGACAGCCTCGTAAGGAATGTGGCCACGAACTGCTCCAATACGATTGTCGTGATTCATTCTGCCGGCATTCGTGTGGTGGATGAATGGGTGGATCACCCAAACGTGACTGCGATCGTGTATGCGCTGCTGCCCGGCGAGGAGAGTGGCAACAGCATTGTGGATGTGCTGTATGGAGATGTTTCTCCCTCGGGACGCTTGCCTTTTACTGTGGCGAAGAACGAGAGCGACTACGGGAATCTTCTCAACTCCACGATCGGCTCTGGACCGTTCCCGCAAGACGACTTCACAGAGGGACTGTACATCGACTATCGCCATTTCGACAAGTTCAACATCACGCCACAGTACGAATTCGGCTTCGGTCTCAGCTACACAAAATTCGAGTACGGCAACCTCCAGATCGCCGCCAAGAACGCGAGCACGAGCGAATGGCCGTCTGCGAACGCCATCATTCCGCAAGGAGGCCACCCCGAGCTCTGGGATCAGATCTTCACCGTCACCGTCGACGTCACGAACACGGGCGATGCAGCGGGGGCCGAGGTGGCACAGCTGTACGTTAGCATTCCCACCGCGCCTCAATGGCAACTGCGAGGCTTCGACCGCGTCAATTTGGAGGTTGGACAAAGCAAGACAGCCACATTCGAGATCACACGGCTGGACTTGTCTGTTTGGAACGTGGTGCACCAGCAATGGCAGCTGCAGCAAGGCAGTTATCCCTTCTTTGTCGGATCCAGCAGCCGTACGCAGCTGCTCACCGGCTCGCTCGACATCTGATTCTGTTCGGCTTGCTTGCAAATGTACACAGACGCTAGATAGTCAGCGCTACGCGGTTGTTGCGACGGCATCAGCAAGTCCACACTGCATCTTTGAGGTTCTTTAGGTATTATTATATAGAGAAATCTAAATACTACGTTATACCTATATACCTATTTATTTACTCCTCTTATAATAACTTAGTAAGTTATATAGTAATACTCTATAGGAACTATACGCTAGTAATATCTACGCTATCGGCTAAAATGTTACGGAAGACTATAGCGTACTATATATAAAAACTATAGTCTTAATATTTTCTAGCTATAATCTCGATTTTAGTACTAGATCTAGTAGAGTATATTTAATTATCTAGCCTCGGTATTTAAAGGTCTAATTAAGCTCTATAAGACGCGATTATTAAAAACTAAGTACGACTCTTAGTATTCCTATCTAAGGGTACTAGTAAATACTAACTTTAATACTCGATATCTACGAAAGAAAGTATACTTATCTTAATCGAAATAATTGCCTTTACTATCGAAATAGCCTTAGTATAATGTATAATATGCGTTACTATCGAAGTTAACCTCCTTTATTAGTATAATACTTGGTTGGGCTAGTTTCCGAATTTCCGGATCCTTTACCATTTTGATTCTAGGCTAGACTCGAATTCTGTACACGATTACAATTAAACCGCAGGCATCAATCACGCATTATATATATATATCTCAGCCTTGCTACTGCCTATGCCACTCCTGTCCTCAATGTGGCCTTCATTCAGCTCCAAAGTCTCTCCGAGGGCTTTCCTTTAGCGAACAAGTTTCCCAAAATTGTTGGCCTATATTCTACCCTTCTTCGACAGCCTTCTCTTCTTCATGTCAAAGGCACCACCCATCCCATCACCTCTCGGCCCATCTTCCACTGCTCCTCTCTTCCGACTCTTATCCAGAGCACTATCCTTCCCCTTCCTCTTCGTCAGATCACCAATCCTGTCCAGACTATCACCCAAGCCTCTCCACTCCTCGCCACCAAACCCACCGTCACGCTGACGACCGAGACCTTTCTTCGCTCTTTCCTTCTTAGACATAGCCGGCAGACGGACAAGATTCGTCTCTTCATATTCCCGCCGCTCAGCTTCTTCCCGCATCTGCTTCGCGTTCTTGCTCTGTCGACCACCAGCAGCCAAATTGCTACCGACACTTGGCTGTGCAAGAGGTGCTTGCGACAGCTCAGTAGACACATACTCGTCCAGCGTAGCGGATCTAGCCGGTCTGCGCTCGGCCTTCTCTCTTCGATCTGTCGTCGGCATGGCCGTGGCAGAAATGCGAGGAGGTCTGTAGACACCGTCCTCCTGGCTCTTTGCTCGAGCAGCAGATTTCGCTTCTCTTTGCTGTCCAGCCGTCATGGTAGCGAGTCTTGGCGCATGGCCAATCATGTCTGCTCCCAGGTCTGCCTCGCTGTCTGAATCCGAGTCTGAGTGGCTATCGTCGTCGGTCTCGCCTTCCTTGGCATGGCCGTTCGCCTTTGCATTCTGTGTCGCTCTCTGCTGCGACGCTCTCTCCTCGTCATCCGCAAGCTTCACAATTCGGTCCACCTGATATTTGAGCTTCTGTTCGATCGGTCTCACGCCTCTTTCCAAATAGACCCTATGCTCGACGAGTTTCTCGGTGATATCGGTGCTGAGCTTTCGTGCTTCTTCAGCATCAACACCATCTTTTATGCTGCGTATGACGTTCAGATTCCGTAGCGCGAGCGCTTGGAGATACGAGAGGAAGATTTCGTTCTTGGTGTCGAAGAGCGTTATGCCATTTTCGGTCGCTTGTAGTGCATCTGTAGCAGGCAAACCACTTATAGCAGTCTCTGTGGATGTCGCGAATTCTGTCAGAATATCTGACAGAGATCTCATAGCCGCCATGATGTGTATTGTTTTCTGCAAAGGTACCCACGACATCTCTTCAGAAGCTGTATGAAATTTTGGTGGAGCTGCTGACTGAGCTCTGAAACTCTATCTCGACGCGCTGCTTCTGAGCCTCTGAGGCTTCGTCCTCCTCCCCTCTCACAACAAACTAACAGCTTGACGATCTTGGGCAACGCACGGAATATGAGCCAGATTCTCTCCATATAAACTTGAAGATCTTTCTATGCGCGTTTTCTACCTGGTTGCTCTTTAAGCTGAAGCCATCTGGATCGCCAGGCTGGTAGCCAACACATTTCACAAAGGTCAAGTCACCGAATCACATCAGGGCCGGAAAAGAGGATCTACACAATGACCAAGCTTGAGAAGTTCCCGACTGTGTCTAAAGGTTCGACTTCACCATCCCGTTAAAGCCCTTGACCTTTCGGCCGCCAAGTTGCTTGTCTTCGACGTTGTACTTTCTCATCAGCTCTTCGGTCGTCTTCCTCTGCCTGTCGATTCGCTCTCTGCATTCCTGTGCGCGCGCTTTGTTTTCTCTCCGGCCCATCTGGTTCAAGTGCACCTCATCTGGACCATCAGCAATACGGATCGTCCTAATGTGTGCCCAAGAGCTTGCCAGCGGAGTGTCTTGGCAAACTCCCATCGCACCGTGAGCCTGAACAGCTCGGTCGATGACGGTGCATGCCATCGTTGGAGTAATAACCTTGGCTTGAGCGATTTCGACGAGTGCGGCCTTCGCATCACCATTGTCGATCTTAATGGCAGCATTCAGGACAATTAAGCGGGCTGAATCAATCTCAATTCTGGACTTGGCGACCCACTCAAGCAGGACACCATGTTCTCGCAGGGGCTTGCCGAAAGGAATCTTCCTTTCATCGTTCAGACGAGCAATCATCCATTCGAGAGCGACCTCTGCGGCACCAATCGATCTCATTGCATGATGAATTCTGCCTGGGCCGAGACGTCCTTGCATGATTTCGTTACCACGACCGAAACCAAGGAGCAGGTTCGACATCGGTACGCGGACATTATTGAATGTGATGTGACCGTGGCCATGTGGTGCACTGCTTCTTGTCAGCTGGTCGTTATCTCCTGTCCGCTCCAAGACTGCACTTACTCATCATATCCATAGACGGAAAGCATTCGATGCACAGTCAGCCCCTTAGCGTCAGATGGCACCAGGACCATACTCTGTCGCTTGTATCGATCCTGGCTGTTCTTGTCGCTCAAACCCATAACAATGTAAATCTTGCATCGATCATCTCCAGCTCCCGAACTCCACCATTTGCTGCCATTGAGGACAATCTCGTTTCCTTCTTGTCGGATATCAAGGCTGATATTACTTCCGTCCGAACTCGCCTTGTCTACCAATTGTTAGCTACCATCCTCATACTCTATTCTTCACCCATGTCGCCTGCTCACCTGGCTCAGTCATCAAGAAACCACTTCTAATCTCTCCAGCGAGCAAAGGCCTCAACCAGTTCTGCTTCTGCTCATGTGTACCATACCTAGCAATAACCTCCATATTTCCTGTATCCGGCGCAGCACAGTTGCAAGCCTCACTACCCAGGCTGCTCCTTCCCAGAAGCTCGGCCATCAAACCATACTCCACATTCGTGAAACCTCCAGCGCCTCCATATTGATCGTATTCCGCGAGATTGGCATAATGGTTTCTAGGCAAGAACATATTCCACAATCCTAATTCTCTTGCCCTCTTTTTCAGATCGTCGAGGATGGAGCCATGACCTTCCCATCTCTCATCGCCGATACCGGTCTGTGCGCCGTATACTGCATCGGCTGGGATGACTTCTTCGTCAATCCATTTTTCGATCACGTCGAGAAGCTTCTTAGCTTTGTCACTGACGAATGGAGCTACGATTGGAGGTATGCGTTGCGAAGCTGGGAGTCTGGGCTTTGCGCCTGCGATTGGAAGTGGGGGTGCATTCGACATTTTGGAGGTTTGATGGTTTCTGGAACAATGGAAAGAGAGGCGACGAGGAGGATAAGAGAAGGCTAAAGAGAGGTCTCTCACCTATTCTAAAAGACAAGATGGATCTATACAATCCTTCTGAGACATCAACCGGGCCTCACCTCGGGCGTGTCAATGCTGTAGTTGTCAGAACGAGGGGTGAGCCCGAGGTTGATCGCAAGCTCCACTGTGTGCACGGAGTATCCTCGGCGCAATGGAAGGCGAGCTATTCAAACACTCGTCAAATATTGACGAGAGCAACATATGCCTGCACACTGGGCACTGCCAGGTGCAGTGACAGACTGCGGGGCGAGACTATTCGAGAATCCACTCCGGTTATTCGAGAATCCGGGCATCCGATCACGGAGGAGGCCTAAGGCAAATTTGTTAGTTATGTTCTCCACCGCTAGACCTCACCGTTACCGCTGTTTTAATCGCTGTTTTAACCTGACCTCGCTGTCGCTGTCGATAGCTATATTGTCAAGCCCTTCTGCGCAGTTATAAGCCGAGTGTAATGCCGCCGCCTCTACTACCACCGCCACCACCGCTACTACCGCCGCCGCCGCCCGCTCCGAGGGCTCTACCAGTACCTACAGCGCTAGCAGGTATACTAGATTACACTGAGATTGTATAGCAGGAACTATACGTTGATGCGAGGGTCGTAGAACCTCATTTGCTAGGCAGGCAGTATGCCTAGAACAGTCAGGATCAGCTATAGTATCGAATTCTACGTCCATTATTCACTCAATTCTTCTTTCCTACGTCATTATTCTACTAAGCAGCCAGCATAGGCATCAGAAGTCACTATGCGATGTTCTACAGTATGGATTACTAACAATGTAGTCTCACCGAGACCGGAGCGGCCCTGGGTCCGTAGATTCTCGAATAACCGGAGTGGATTCTCGAATAGCCTCGCCCTCCAGCGAGGTTTTGAAGAAGACACAATCCGACTTGTACAGTATCGCTACAGGATCTGTTCAAATCCTATCATAAATTTCGACTCCGTCCACGAGGAACGCTGTACCATCAAAGTCAACCAGCTTTAGCTCAACCTTCGAACCGGACTTCAAAGTCATCGGCAAAGGAGCTCTTTGAGCAAACGTGTTTGCTCTTGTGGTCTCGAGGCTAGCCCAGCCTTCCACAGCCTGGCCATCAACCGTGCCAACAATGTGTCTGAAGGCATTCTTGGCGCCAGGGTATGTGTAGAGGATTTGCACGACCTTGTAACCTTCGCTGCCATCCCATGTAAAAGTGAATGTGTTCGATGAGGTCATATTCGCTGCTATGCCGCCTGCGCAGCCATCATGGCATTCGGTGAGAGTGGTACTATATGTAGTGGAATTGGCTGCCGTGATTGTCGTAAAAGGAAGGTCTTCCCATGTTCCTGTTGCCACGTCCAGCGTCCATCCTCCGGTAGAACGCAAAGTCAAACCGGTGCGATTGTAGAGCACTGGATAGAAAGCGTAGGTTGAGGTACCAAGAGCGTTTGCATTCCAGTGATCTCCGAGGTATAAGTGAAATGTATCCGAAGATCCGTTGATAGTGATATCGTATGCATTTTGCGTCAAGTACGCGTAGGCACCCTTGGGATGCAAGAGTGTAGCATCAGTCCAAGGTCCAGACATAGATTCTGCTACATGATAGCCATTGTCTGTAGGCGTCCATCCATCTTGGGGAGAGAATAGCAGATAGTACTTTCCGTCGATTTTGAAGACACCTGGCGCCTCCTGATAAACACTTCTGAAGGTGTAGATAGCCTCTGTAACGTTGTAGTAATCGCTGTCAAGTGTGGCGATCTGGAAGTCGGCGTTGTCTGAAGTCGCAAAGACCAAGTACGCCTGACTGCTATCTGGGTCCTTCCAGATCGTCATATCGCGAGAGTCGTTGCCAAAGGGTTTGAAGTTGCCTTTCCACGAGTACTGGCCATTGATCGTTTTGCTTGTCGCAACACCAACTTGTGCTGCTCCATAGTTCGACGAGTCGCCATGGAACCACATCACATATTCCGAGTTCTTCTCGTTGTACAGCACTTTCGGTCGCTCAACAATGCGCTCGCTAGAGATGTTGGTGTTCGCTATAGGCGAGAGCACTGGTCCTTGATTCTCCCACGTCGACAGGTCTGAGGACTTGTAGCACGACACTCCTTGGAAAGTGCCGCCCGTCGTTTCTCCAGTTTTATTCTCGCCGAACCAGTACCAAGATCCATCGCCATCGTGGGCTTGTATGATGTTGCCTCCATGAGCTTGGATGAAATTGCCGTCTGTATCAGTGAGGTTCAGAAGCGGGAAGAAAGTAGCAGATGCAGCCAATCGTGCCAAGGCTAGTGGCGCGAATGCTTTGAAAAGAAACATGGTGACGGTAGGGATAAGTCTGGTAGGATTCTGCAGGAAGATACCTTAGCACTGATATATCTCTTTGAAGAGTCACACCGGATGAAGTACGGTACCTGAAGAGATCACTCCACATCTCGGACAAAATGCGAGGCCTTGGGACAAGATATGGAGAAAATTGCGGATCGACAGGTCTATCATGCAGTATAGCCTCTTGCGCTGCATTGGAACTTGGTTGATCGACATTCTTCCGTCTCTGAGGTTCCCCAGCTGCCATGAGGGTGAAGGATGTATCACTCAAAGCTTACCGGGCTGTCTCGGACCGAGATGCGCAAAGAGATCATCATCAATGCGAAGCGTCTCATACGAAGCTTTTGCTTTCTTGACAGGGTGCCTGTCCATCGCCTCGGGCCACAGAACAGCGCTTCCCATCAAGAACGCAATACTGGCCCATCGAGGACCAAAATCGCCGTGATACTCGCACCAGGACGCCGAGCCGTTTCCAAAGGACGCACTGAGAGTCCAGCCAACGCTGCCGACCAGGTTCCAGGTGCCGATCCACTATCCTATTCGTTTTGGCGCTGGTTCATACCATTTCTCCTGGACGTCGAGCACGTAAAGCAGAGAAGCAGTCACGAAAAGTCTGCCGCCGATCGTGTGAGCCAGCCAGCAAACACCCCAAAGCACGGGCTGTGAGGCATTGTTATGTATGCGTTACTGTTCAGACATTGATGCATGGTGCCCGGATCACCGAAACAAAATACCGTTTTCTCGCTTTGCTGGTTGTTATGATGAATGTTGGTATCAGCGACCTCTCCATCTCCTGAATCCTGACAGTAGATTGGCTGGGATATCCGGGCGAAACAATCTGGTTCACTGATTACTAGGCATGATCACCATCACTTGCAATGTCATGCAGTGCTTCGGCTTTCCCCATTGACCACTGCGGCATCGGAGGCGAGTCCCGTAGTTCTACTGCCGAACATTGACAGCTCCACAAGCTCCTAAGTGAGGAGCCGGCATCATCTTGGCCATCTTGCCTATGGCTACACGCAAGCTGAGACAGGTACCCACGCCGTAAGAGCGTAGGATTGGAGCTCTTGAAGGTTATGACAAAGTCCTAAATGCAAGTATTCGTCTCACTTCTCTCTCTGTCCGTCTCCTTCATAGCCAGCTTGTGATTGGAAGAAAGTGGAATTACTACGCCCATAACGGCAATAATACAGCGGCACATCACATCGATATGGGACAAGAACGAAATCAGACGAATGGTGTCAATGCCACAGCACCTCCTATCCAGCCTTTCGTGCCGGACAAGGCAAATCCGGCCCTTTATACGAATGAGAAGCGAGAGATCTTCATGGCTGATTCGCCCGAATTGCAACCAGGTCCCAATGACTGCGTTGTACGCATGCGATGTAATGGTATTTGCGGGTAAGCAACGAGCAAGCAAAGCCTTGGAGAAGCCTCATACTGACATGGACCAGATCTGATGTTCACTTCTGGCACACCGGCCGCATCGGCCCCTTGATAGTCGACTGTCCTCACGTCCTTGGACACGAAGGCGCTGGAGAAGTGGTTTGGTCTGGCGCAAATGTGAAGCATCTCAAACCTGGCGATAGAGTTGCTGTTGAACCTGGCGTCCCATGCGATAACTGCTATCAATGCTCCAGTGGCAATTACAATCTTTGCGCAGACGTCGCTTTCTCTGGTGTGCCTCCATACTCAGGCTCGATTCGAAGATGGCATGTTCATCCATCGAAATTCTTACACAAGATTCCCGACAACCTATCCTTCTCGGACGGTGCACTGCTTGAGCCGCTTAGCGTTGTCCTTCACGGCTTCGAACGAGCTCCGATCAAACTGGGTGAACCGACTGTCATCTGTGGTGCTGGACCGATTGGAATGTGTGCTTTGGCTGTTGCAAAAGCGAGTGGCGCTGCGCCCATCATTGTCACTGACTTGGATGCCGGACGACTGAAGTTTGCTAAAGAATGGGTGCCGAACTGCATACCTTTCCAGATTGATCTGAAGAAGAGCGCCGAGGAGACCGCCAAGCACATTGTTCAGACCTGTATAGATGCCGGTGCTGATCAACCAAGAGTCGTCTACGAGTGCACAGGTGTGCAACAAAGCGTGGTGACAGCTTGCTACCTCCCAAGAGCAGCAGGACAAGTCATGGTGATCGGTGTCGGAAAGCCGATCATGAACGAGATTCCTTTCATGCACATTTCACTGGCAGAGGTAAGTTGCGTGTGTCAACGGGAGTGATGAAATACTGATACTTGTAGGTCGATCTCAAATTCATCAACAGATACCACCACACTTGGCCATCGGCGATCAGCTTACTGCAGCACAAGGTCATCGATCTACAACCCTTGGTAACACATCGCTACACTTTGGATCAAGCACGAGATGCACTGGCAGCGTCGGCAGATCGTGGTTCGGGTTCTATCAAAATTCACATCGAGGACAACGAGCCCTGATGGACATTGATAGCAGCTCGTATGCAATGAAAGCTACACTTCCCATAGTCACTCCTCTGCAGCCTTGGTGAGTTCCGAGTCCCTATCCCTGCATCCTTTCGGTGAACGGCTGTATCGTTCTACGTTCCTCTCCCATTCTTGTCCTGGATAGTGCCCTGCATGTATGACGTTCCTGTCTTCACTTCTCTTCTATGACGCACGTAGCTAATTCGACTCTGTGAATCTCAACCTGCTTGCAGTATTGCAGTATGCCTCGAACTGGTCCTTGACGCGAGTAACCACCGAGTATTCTTTGTGATCTTGAATTATTTGGGCTAGATGCTCAGCACGCTCCGCCTCGCTCTGACCAAGCACTCGCAGAAAAACAATGTTTCCTTGGCAAATGACGAAGGCGAAGTGGTCTGTAGAGCCATAACCAGAATTCGTGCAGTGCCACAACGAATTGCTCGTCTCGATCGTGAACTTCATGGTATTTTCCATACTGATTTTGTAAGAGTACTCGAAGTGCAAATTTTTCATGCTTTGCATGTCGAATCGTCTCGAAACCTGATATCTGAGCTTTCCCAGCGGGTCCCCGTCTTGCTTCAGCGCTAGGCGGAACGTTTTCTCGTCGTAGCAGCTGCGGACAGAGGCCTTGAAGATGCCTTGAGCTTCGTCTTTGACTTGTTTGCAACACTGTAGGAGAGCTGGAGAAGGTGGTTCGCTGTGGAGGAGGTCGACTTCGATCTCGTTCGATGTAAAGGCGAGTTCGTAAATCTCGTTGCGCAATTCTGGCGCGATGTCAAGCAAGTGGCATGGAGCTGTCGTAGCAACCTCGAGTCGGTCAGCACCGCTGATTTTGCCTGGAAAGATGTTGGAAGAGTCCGCCGTGGTGGAGTCCATCATGATATGAGTCGCCGTGTTAGACTTCTTCAGCATGAAGCAGTATCGTTTATCAGAATTTCGCAGATTCGCTTTCGATGGAAGAGGGCTCTTTCCATTCAGGCGCTCCTTCCTCACTTTGGCGAAGCCCCGCTACAGCAGGCTAGCGCCTTCCGCCGAGGGATTGTATGGGGACAGAATGGAAAGAGGGCAGAGCTTTGATCGTGGTGATTGTTTTGGGCTTGAATTATGATCTAAGAGTTGCTATTTCAAGGTAGATGTGACGGCCCGGACCGTCCTTTCACATGCAAAATGCTTGATGGACTTCACATTCCGTACCGGCTCCTTGGCGATTTAATCTTTACCACGCAATACATACTCATACCCTCTCCTTCAGCAAACGCCTGACCTCACCTTGTATCGCCTCACTCATATCCTTCGTGGTCGCCTTCCCACCCAAATCTCCCGTTCTCACTTCAAGTCCACCATCCTTCTTCGCATCCAAGACCTTCGCAACAGCATCTTCAATAACATCCGCCTCGCGATGCATATTAAACGAGTACCGCAACATCATAGCCAGACTCAGAACCTGTGCAACAGGATTCGCCAATCCTTTCCCAGAAATATCCGGCGCAGATCCATGCACAGGTTCATAAAGTCCAACAACACCACCAACGCTATTCTGTCCAAGATTTGTCCCCGGAGCTCCTGCCAACGACGCACTCGGAAGCAAACCAAGCGATCCCGTGAGCCCTCCACTCTCATCCGATAGAATGTCGCCGAATGTGTTGTCCGTAACAATCACGCCATTGAACGCCTTCGGTTTCGTAATAAACAACATAGCCAGACTATCCGCGAGCTGATGCTGAAGCTTGACAGTAGGAAACTCCTTCTCGAAAACCTCAGTGACCACTCGTCTCCACACTCTCGAGTTAGCAAGCACATTCGCCTTGTCGGCACTGAAGACCGGAAGCGGTGGATCGTGCTGTAACGCCAAAGCTCCAGCAACGCGAGCAACTCGCTCGATTTCCGGACGACTGTACTCCCAAGGATCACAAGCGTAATCTTGCTCTTCGATTTTGTTGCCATAATACGCTCCGCCACAATTCTCTCGAATTAGCATGAAATCTACACCTTCGATGATTTCTCGTTTGATCGGCGACCATTCGATCATGGTTTTTGAAGCGAATTTACAAGGTCGAAGGTTCGCAAAGATCTAAAACAATATCCATCAATCAGTATATCTCTTTTCCAAAACCTCCAAAATCTCTCTCTTTCCTACTTACCTGCATCCGTTTCCTAATCCTCAACAACCCACTCTCAGGATTTGGCTGTGCAGTCCCCCATTCCGGCCCCCCAGCACTACCAAAGAACACCGCGTCGACCTTCTCACATTTCTGCAGGACTTCTTCGGTGACTGAATCTTTATGTTTGTCCAAAGAACAGCCTCCACATAAATCGAAATCACGTTCGAATTTGGCTCCAGTAGTTTCTTCGATGATGTCTAGAACTTTCAAGGCTTCTGTTACGACTTCTGGTCCAATGTGATCACCTGGAAGAACTAAGATCTTGCCACCTTTTGCTGGAGGAGGGACTGTTGTGCCGTTGGCTGCGTGGCTTGCTGGCATCTTGGCTCTTCCAGTATCGAGATTGGTTCGGAGAAGAGAAGCAGAGAATTGAATCGATCGATATATTTCTTGACCAAATACGGATGTCACTGGAAGTCGTACAGAGTCAATGTCTTTCACATACCGCATTCGTTTTTCCGAAGTAAACTGGTTCCCCCGCGCAGCCAACTCTTCGCCGACTTCGGCAGTTGAGTGAATAGCAAACATGGCAGAGGTGGCAGGTCTAGCGACAACTCCTTGAGTGATCGGTCAAGTGATTACTCAGCCGCAAGACGCTACACTGGACCTCAGTAGGTATACACTAGAATTCTCCTTCTTTATTGTATTATTTGTTAGGAAGAACACATTAATTATGTCTCAAATAACAACCTATAAAACCCGTCCCGCTATACTTAAAGACATAGAAGTACTAGATCGAATCTATTATAACGCAAAAGCAAAATCTATAATATAATAACTTAATAAAAGTTAGGGCCCCTTTAGGCTTAGTGCGGCTTAAAACGGGCTAACCGCGGCCTCTAATTAGTAGACGCGAGGAACGTTAATACCTTAGCGATCTAGAAGGGCGTAGACGTCGTAGTATATACCGCGACGAGCTATAACTTCGATAGTAGTCTCGAAAAGGGCGTCTTCGTCGTATATACCTTATCCGGCGGTATTTACTCGAAGCAGTATACTCGATCGCGCTAGTAGCCTTATAGGAAGCGTAATTTAGTACGTACGACTAGTACCGAGGCCCTACTATCGCGAGCTCCGCTATCGGGGTCTTATAAATACGATACTATCGACCCTCTTAGTCGCTATCGTAGCTCTATCGACCTCTACGGCCTTCGAGAAGCTATACGAAATTGCGGTATCCTTTACTCGTAAGTCCTAAGGAAGGCGCGCGTCGCGTATATAACTATAGTAGCCGCGTATAACGCGCCTATATCCGGAGATATAACGACTTTAGTAGGCGCGCGGTTATTAATTACTACTATAACAACCTAATATCGCGATCGACTATTATAGACTCTACTAGAACCGACCTCGATTTAACTCCCCTAGCCGCCGGATACTTATTCGCGTCGTACCGGTATAGATCTAACGAGGGCCCGCTACTAACTACCTATCGTAGTCTCTCGAGGCCTACCGTAATGCTCGCGAAGACGTACGCTTAAGATTATAGTTTTAAAGGGTCCGAGGTATAGAAAGCTATAGTAAGTAGTATAGTAGCGGTCGTACTCCGATATAGCGGCTAACAATTCTAGTACGAGGAGGTTTACGGTACTCGGTAGGAATTACCGTAAGAGTCGGTAGTTTTCTTTACGAAGATATAGCAAGACTCGCTACTACTTAGCCCGCTATAGAGGATTCTCGATCTACGGCAGTTCGGCTTATTTCCTTCGTTTAGTATCGTCCCTTAGAAGCTAGACCTTAGGTAGATATTCGAATCGCAGCTAGTAGAAGAATCGACTATCGCAAAGCCTCTTAAGGTATTTTATATCGCTACTAGCCTTTTCTATAACGACGTCGCCGATAAGGCGGCTATAAAGGTCCTCGAGATCTAGTATTAATTCGATACGATATCTAGCTATAGTATTAGCGTCGCCTTGCTCTCGGAGAGTACTACTCGCGATTAGGAACGGACGGTATAGCTCCCGGCCCTATTTAGCGATAAGTACGCTAAGATAACCTACTTCTTAGACTATTTCTAGCTCCTCCGTAATAGTATAGGCTTCGACTAGGTAGCGACGCGGAGTTGTCTCTTAACTATATATAGCGCTCCCGTCCGGCGAAAGCCTTCCTTATTATTATTCGGTCTCGCCCCGCTAGAGGAGTATCGTAGCGAGTCGAGCGTTATAATAAACTAAGGCGCGGGCAATCGTAGTATAGAGTATAAGGGAGAATATAGTATTTAGGGAGGTTGCGGAAGGAAATCTACGATAATCTTAGTACATTTATTGTAATTTTTAGCGTACTATCTACTTAACGGACATCTTTTTATATCCCTCGATATAATATAAATTTATAGCTCTAGAAGATATATCTTACCGGATTATACCGCTAGAGGCAGACGACGCGCTCCTTCGCCTTAACTCGAGTCCTTAACGACTTCGTTCGTATTAATACCTCCCTAGCGACGATACCGACGTTATAGTAGTAGAATCTAAGCTAGAGTAGTAAGCGCAAGGTCGAGTATTCGTCGTCGCGTCGCAAGAGGCTATTATTATTATCGCAGGTCGCTTTATATCGTCGCGTCGCAAGAGGCTATTATTATTATCGCAGGTCGCTTTATATCGTCGCTTTATATCGTCGCTTTATATCGTCGCTTTATATCTATTAGCTAGTATAGGCTTAGCGCGCGGCGACGGTTACGTATATAAACAGTAAAAAAAAATAGTAGCGAATAATTAGAGACGAAGGGAAGACAGTTAAGAAGGAAGGGAGGACGAATAGAAAGCACTATATACTAGGGCAGAAGAGGTACTAAAGGCGGAAGATAGAAGAACCCCTAAGAGGGCATATAGGATAATAATCTTAGAACTCCTTAGAGGACTAAAAGCAATCTATAACTAGGCAAGCTACGTAATTACAAAGGTAGCTAATACAGTCGTAGCAAAGATTATAAAGAAACAATAGGAGACAAGCCCAAACTACCGTACCTAGGCAGCAGTAGCTAGTTAGGAGGCGCTAAAACCCCCGAGGACAGTAGTTAGAGTCTATATTACGGACCTATAGGAGTAAAAGGAAATCTAAGGACTTATAGGGAAGGAGATTATAGAAAGAATTGCAGTTAAAGAGGTAATTAGGGCTAGGAACGAAGGTAAAAGGGTAATTAAGCTGTTTATAGTATAAGAGCAGGACAAAAAGAAGCTAGAAACACAAAAAGAATAGATAACCAAGATAGGGAAAACAGTAAAGGTCTCCTAATAGCAATTCATAATTATAGCCTATAGTATAATAAGAAGCTTTAAGGAAGAACAGAATATTAAGAGCCTATAGAGACAAAACTAAGCTATATGCCTAGGCCTAAAGATTATAAAAGTAGCATAGATTAAAAGGAAAATCGAAGAGACTAAGAAGCAGTCTTCCCTAATTATCTAGGTAGAGAGTATAGAGCAAGCTAATATAGTGCTAGACTAGGGGTTGTTCTAGGACTTTAAAAGATTAGAAACAGAGATATATAGAAGCAACTATAGGATAATATAGTGCTTTAAATGTTAACACTATAGACACTTAGCAGCTAAGTGTATAAAGATAACTAACACCTGCTCCTATTATATAGGGGATTACTAGGTTAAAGAATGCAAAGCATATAAGGGAGAAGCAAGATATATATACTATACTAAAAGACACCCCTCTTAGGCGAAGGAATACCTAGTAAGAATACAGGTAGCTAGGAAGGCAAAGGAAGCTAGAATCAATACACTAAAAAGATATATAACAAGCTAGGGCAGCTAGGTATAGAAGCAACCTAGCTAAGTGCTACAAAAGAGGTCTAGGCAAGATAATAGGTTCACATTTAGGGCCTTACTAGTATAAGAGAGTTACTAGTAACTAGAGAGACTAAGATACCTTAACATTGTAGGAAAGGAAGCAGGGTAGACAAAGCTTAGTTAAATATTGATCTAAAGTAAGGGAAGACTAAAGGAAAACTTATAGGGAAATAATATAGATAAAACCTAATAAACATTGCAACATTACTAAATATTATATAGTATAATGTTAACAAGAGTAAAGACAAGGTACAGAGGAGCTTCCTTTAAGCACTGAACCTAAAAGAACATTATATTATTATAATCTAAGAGCCCTAGCTCAACCTATATATAAAGAGACTAGCAATAGTTAAAGACCTAAGATACTACCCAATTATCTATAACTAGGGAGCCCTAAGGATATACATCTACATTAGCAAGGAGATAGATATAGAAACCTAGTAGGCTATACTATAGGAGGATAGGGACCTAATATTAGTTTAAGTAGAGACATCCTAAGGTATACTCTAAGTCTACTATATATACAACCTATTACTAGACTTAAGAAGCAGTACCTAACTAAAAACCCTAGAAAGACTGCCTAGAGTTATCTAGGGGAACACCTACTAAATCCTACTTAGGGATTTCAACCTCTACTACCCCCTCTAGGGCTTAAACTTTACCCTAGCTTACTACTTCCTAGTAGGAAGACTAATTGATATATTAGAGAGGGAAGGAATAGAAATTGCTACCCTAAAGGGACTAATTACTTAGGAGGCAAGAGGAAGCAGTAGTACACTAGACCTATACTTTGTATTATATTAGATTAGGAATAGGATTACAAGATGCAGGGTTAACTAGGAACTAGAAGAATTATTAGACCACTTCCCGGTATAGATTAAGCTAAATGTCTAAGCTAATTAGGAAAGGGAACTAGAGGAGAAGCTTAACTAGAAAGGTACCTAATAGGGCAGGATTAGGGAGGAACTAGAAAGGGACCTAAAACTAGAGGAACTCTTAACAAAGTACCTACTAAGGCTAGAGGACATTAATAAGGCAGTAGAAGAACTAATAGGAATCCTAAAACAGGTAGCTAGAAAGTATACCCTAGTAAAGAAACATTCACTATACTAGCAACTATACTAGACTAGTAAGTATATAAGGAAGGTTAAAGTAGTAAGGAAGGCTAGAAGGCAGTAGATATAAACCTATACCTAGGAAGCATAGGACAACTATAATAAAGCCTGCTAGGAAAAGAAGATCCAGATTAAGAAAGATAAGATATAAGAATAGAGATCTATAATAGGAATGATTATAAAGAAACTAGAGGAGATATAGAGGATAGCTAAATAGGCAAGGAGACCTAAATAGGACAAGGATATGCTACTACAATTCCCGGACATTATAGACCAATAAGGATAAATGCAGACTATAATAGAAGGGAAAGTAAGAGCCCTAGGCTAACACTTCTTCTATAGAAAAGTATAAGCAGACCTATTAGATATAAAGGAGAAAGAATAAGAGACTCTACTACTAGGTATA